GGTCACACGTCTGGGCGCAGGGCACACACACATGGGTCACACGTCTGGGCGCAGGGCACACACACATGGGTCACACGTCTGGGCCCTGCACATTGAACATTTGTTTAATATATTTTCTGGTTTTTACACATTTCATTTGGTCAGATTTTATTATTCTGATTTTTTTTCATTGACAGAGTGTTAGGAAATGTTGGAGAGATCACTCTTCATGCTGCAAAAAATAAGATGTCTAGCACATTTTTGCTAACGAATGACCCGAGAGATTGAGAATTACCGACAGTGGATGACTTAGATAGGCTTCAACCAGCTTGAATATTTGCCCATAGTGTCAATTTATTGATCATTGGTTATAAACTCCACTTTGTTGTGTTCTTTATTTTTTTACATAGCTGTTGCTGTAGTTATTTTTTCAGAAAAGTTTGGCTGAAATTTTGTATATTTAATTTACAGTTACACACTTTCATCTTGTTGAGCAACCTCTAAACATCAATAAAACTACAGAAAATGGAGTACTTTCTCACAGTGCATCACAAAATAAAAGGCTGAGTGCATAAAACACTGTGGATTTAAAATGTGACTCCTGGCCACCCTCACAGGACCACCCTACTGTATATATTGAAGTTTTCTTTAGGTTAATCTGCAGGCTTTTCAAAGCCATAATATGTTATGTACATTTTTTTAGGATTAAAAAAAAAAAAAAGACAAAAGTGGATGAAGTATTTCTGGTTTCGGTTTTGAATTGTCACAACAATATAATCTGATTTCCATTTCAGTTTTACGAGTTTTTACCCATTTTTATTTTCCTAAACAGATTTTAAAAAGTCTGCATAACAGCCTGACCCCCTGCTTTATATGATGTGGTCACTGCACATACCGACAGGATTTTACGGAGTAACATTTCTGATATCTGTTTCACTACAAATTTGTGAAGATCAGAGATTACCAGCTAATCAGTATCATTAATAGATAAATGTCACTGGGACTGACCAAAATGTTCACATTGCTGCTGCACTAATATATCATCAACCTCTTACCCTTGCAGAAGATAAACCTTTTAACATTAATGGGCCTAAACAGGAAATGCTAGCCTGTGAAGGCCGGGTATCCGAGGTTAACCAGTGGGTTCCTCTGGAGGGAGAGTTCGGGGGGGAGGGGTTCTCTCTCAGCATGTACAGTTGAGGGATCAGCTTCGGTGTGGCATGAATGTGTGGCATTATCAGCTGAGTGGCTGTAGCTGGGGGCGAGTACCACAGTGCGGCGTCCCACCACACACACCAGGACAGAAGTCCGCAGACGGCCTCTGCGTCCAGAAGCAGATCACCTTCAAAGCTCCTCTGGGCATCTCCGACCCAGCACAGCTGCCCGGAGCGTCGCCCCACTGCTTCGCGGCTCACATGTCCTGGTGACGGGTCAGGGCTGAGATGAGGTCCTCCAGTGGCTCCGTGTCCGCCCAGTCCAACAGCTGGAACTCCCGGCTGAACAGTGTGAAGTGGGTGAAGACTGTGTTGAGGTGGGGCTGCATCTCCAGGGCAGCTATGTGCTGGAAGTGGGCCCAGTACAGGTGCGCCAGCATGTGGAACAGGTAGAGGAAGATCCTCTGCGCCAGGAAGGTAAAGCCCATGGGGAAGGAAGAGTCTGCGGGTGCAAGAATAAGCAGCGGCCCACTGTTATGTGTGTGATTCCCTTAAGGGTGCCATAGGTCCTTTATTTCAGTGTATTTGTTTCTTGTGTCTGCATGGAAGGTATGTGAACTTGGTTTGGTCATTAAATGCCCAGAAGCAGTTTTACAGGCTCATTTACATCCTATTATTTGGCACTAAAATGAAACCGGCCACGTTGCCATATTTGGTGGCCTCATGAATATGTTGAGCTCTGCTCGGATTGGCTGGTTTACAGTGAGGCACGGCAGATGCTCACACAGAACCAACATTTCTACGATGCATAACGATGACAGTGGTCCCATAAGATTATGAGAGCGCTGATGAATTTCCATCACCTAGTAACGTCTTAGTTCCATGATTGTGACGATACTGGTGTGAACAAGCCTACTATGCTTTCAGTCGTGTAAAAGTATAGCAAATACAATTATGTACAGTACATAATACTCCATAAATATTTATGTATTTACCATATTGTACTTTTTAATCATTATTTTAGAGTGTATTCTTTCTATTTTGCCACATTCTCCCACTTCAGTTTAGGCACAATGCTCGCAGAGTCATACCATGGGGGCAGCGTGTGGCTCAGTGGGTTAAGCCTGTGTGCCTGTAATCAGAAGGTTGCTGGTTCAAACCCAGCCTCAGCATGTCTGTGGGTCCATGAACAAGGCCCTTAACCCCCAGTTTCCTGTTTTTCCACCTTCTAACTACGTGGGATTTATGTGTGAAAAAGGAAACACCAGTATTTGAGACTGACGCTATATCAGACCTACGTCAGCAGCCATAGCACCTGCAGCTGAGCCCAGGTAATCTACCTGAAGCTAAGCAGGTTTGGGTCTGGCCAGTATCTGGAAGGGAGACCAACTGGGAAAGCCGGGTTGCTGCCAGAAGAGGTGTTGGTGTGGCCAGTGCAGTGATGTGGACACTGTGCTGTACAAATGGTGCCGTCCTTCGGATGAGACGTAAAACCGAGGTCCTGACTCTCTGAGGTCATAAAAGATCCCTGGGCACCTTTCGGAAGAGTAGGGGTGGTACCCCGATGCCCAGGCTAAATTGCCCCCTGTGGCCCTATCAATTGGGCCTCATAATCATCACCTGTATCTAACTGGTAAATTCTCTCCTGCTCCTTCACCACCTTAGCTACTGTGGGGTACGCATGCTGGTGTGGGGGGAGGGATGGGGGGAGGTGCTGCTTCAAGCCTGCCTTTGGGCCGTCTGTGGCCCTTTGAGCAAGGCTCTTAACCCCCAGCTGCTATGGGTGGCTACACTTTGAGGCCAGCTTGGTCCCCACCTATAGGGAACAAGCTGGCTGGAGGTGTTAGGAGAGTTTCCCCATCAGGATCAATAGGTTATTTTATTAACAGATTTTCATTCTATGGCACTTTTAAACTTCTTTCTCAACCCAGTCCTCAGGGATTCTTAAATGTGTCACTGCTGAAGACACCAAATACCTGCTTGATTGTTGAAGAACATCAGATACCTGGGGATCCCAGAGGACTGGGGAATCCCTTAAACACTGCATTTCCGGGCAGTAAAACCACACCTGACTTTGACGGGAAAACCTCCTGATCGGCCAGCAGCTCCTGGATGTAGCACATGATGTAGCCGGTGTAGAGGGGAGCAGAGCAGCTGATCTTCTTGCCGTCCTCGTCTGTCCAGTGGAAGGTCCTGCAGAGAGAGGCCCCACGTGTGAAGCCGTGGCAGGTTTCAAACCAGCATATGCCTACTTCACATCGGCCTTCATAGTTCTGTTTATTTTCATTGCTTTTTAATTTCAAGTTAAACTAGGAGTAGATGCTACCGTGGCCTTTTCCTGCTTAATTCCCATCAGCTGCAGGTCCCAGCTCCTGCCCAAGCCTCCAGTGATCAGGCTGCAAAGGTACCTCATGTCTGTCTCGTTTTTCTTTTTTATCTGCAAGTCCTGTATAAGATGGCTCTTGCCCCTGAGACTCCCCATACCAGTCAGGTGCCATCTGGGGGCGTGTGCTGGTCCTGCTCCATTGTGCCTATAGGTGGCCTCACCTGTTGCCAGGGCCACTGGCAGTGGGGCAGGTCCTTGTGGTGCAGAACTCAGACAGGGCACTGGAGAGCAGGTTGATGAGCTGGAAGAAGGCTACAGCTGCACAAGGTTGGGGGGAGAGAGAGGGTGCCCCCCTCATCAGTCCCAGGGACACCAATACTGCCCACCACCCAAACTCAGCCATAGCGATGGCACACTCACTGTGGCTGGCGATCCACTCGGCCTTGTCCACGCCGTCGGGCAGAGTGCACAGCGAGCGCATGTCCACCGGACAGAGACTCTCAGCAGTATAGGCATCCAGCAAGTAAGGCTTCTGGCCCAGGGGGGGAGCAGCTTTCAGGCTCATCTTCCTTCTGGGGAGGGACGGCATGCAATAACAGAGTCCCGGTGAGGAAGATCTGTGTGCCTTTGGTGTCTCTCAGCTACATCCAACTCAGATATAAGTGAATCTTTTGTGAGAGTCAATGAATGAGTATGGCTGAGTTTGCCTGTGAGTGAATGAATATTACATATTTGTTTAGCTAACCAAAGGTAGCAGCCTCTTGTCATTGTCAGCATCATAGACTTCATGATGTCATTTACTACTCCCCTATTAACCTGGGGTATGCTGCTAATGACGATAGCGACTTGCATAGTTGGAGCCATGCAACTGAACAGTTCCAACTATGAATGTACCCTTGAACAGGACTTCTCTCATTAGCCTATTGGTAACCTTACATTAACGACTGTCAGTATACATTTTTTTCCAATACCAGGCACACTTGTGGAAAGTATGCATACATGCCCCTGGGCTTGAAAGTGGGCAGTACGTGGGTGTACGGTCAGATTGGAGGCACGGATAATAATGCCACATGACAGTCTAGGATTTTTGAATCTGCCTGTTTTTCCACCTTCTTTTACATATATGGTTTTTATATGTGAAAGAAGGAAAAACGGTGCTCGAGATTGACAATGTCAGTTCCACGTACCAAATTATTCTCATTCAACTAAGCTGGGGTATATGTAGATTATCATTCTATGGCACTTAACTAAGAGGTTAACTAAAACCGCACTAGCATACCGCTAAAGAGATTAATGATCTTTGCTGGTGAACGCACTCTCTGTATGCTAGTGTGTAAAAGACGGGTGGGCAGACTGCTGTTTACTTATTTCCCCAACTGTGGATATCTCCTGTTTGTATGCGCATGGAAAGATGTTAGACAACTCAGTGCTAGATTGCATAACTTTAGATATCCTGGAATACTTACTTAGATCCTGCTTAGGCTGTTTGACATGGGAGGATGATTGAGCTTCTAGGGTTTACCTCTCAAACAAATGCGTGTCAAATCAAACAGTATCCAAAGGACAACTCCGGAGGAAGCCAGGCTTCCAGATGACACATGCAGGCAAAACACCCAAATGTGTAGAAATATGGAGCAAACTATCATTATGTACTTTCCCAACATTTTGGCCTCATAGTGTATGGTGACAGTCATGCAGTAAATTAATCTATTTACACCACAGGTTCTGCCCGCTGTCGAGCCAGGTGTGGTGCGGCCAGAGTGCGTGATGAAGTTTGCACTGCTACTGGTAGATTTCACAGTAGCGGACTCACCTCTGATATCTGGCATCTTGCTGCACAGCGGAGTGAGGTGCACATCAGAGAGGCCACACCAAGGCCCGTGACTCACAGGCTTCCCCCACCAACAGAGAAAATGCGCAGCTACTGCTCTGTTTAGCTGCACTATGAGACCCACTGTGCCGACACACTGCACAGCTACTGCTCTGTTTAGCTGCACTATGAGACCCACTGTGCCGACACACTGCACAGCTACTGCTCTGTTTAGCTGCACTATGAGACCCACTGTGCCGACACACTGCACAGCTACTGCTCTGTTTAGCTGCACTATGAGACCCACTGTGCCGACACACAGATACCTCATTTAAAAGCTGCACTCAGTGAAGCGGGCAAAAGACACGGAGCGATTCTTACTCACGGCTTTCCTGCAGTAGCTTCAGGGGAATCCTCGCTTGTTTCAGCGGCCGCAAAGTAGCTCTCACACCCTCCCATGGCTCTGCTCTGGCCGGTGAGAGGCGCCGTGGTTCAGAGTCGGCTCTGCTGTGCGGGACGGCCCCTCTGAGCCGGCCCTGTGACACGGAGGGGGAGCCGCCCTGGGTGTGTCTTCAGTCCTCCTGGCCCAAATCCCGAGCCACCCAGGAGCCGAAAGTCTCATTTGACCAATAAGGAAGGTCCAACAGGCTGTGACTGGAATCCGTCTGAGGAGCTTAGCAAACACTATCTCTCTGAAGGGGCCAACTGCCTGCCCTCAGTGAGACTCTGGGCAAAACAGGCCCCAGGAAGAGTGGCCTTGGATTCAAAGAGAGGAAGTAACATGGCATAAATGTAATTCATACCTGACATTAGCCTGTTAGTCTGCAGGAGCAAAACCACCAGGGTCTCCATCAGCTGTGGCCGTGGCAAGTGGTTGGGGGCATGAGGCCCCTGGGGCCAGCAAGCCAGAAGAACATTGGAGAACAACAAACCTGTGCAGCAAAATGCGCATTTAGCCATGTGAGGTCGAGGGACAGAATGAGGCCGCCCCATGCATTACTTCTCTACTTGGATGCAAGATGATTCAAGCTATTGATTCAAGATGGTGGCGCGTGCACATGCTGCGGCTTCTCTCTCTCCCGAACAAACAGTGTTTTCATGTTTTTCGTCCTGTAAGTTGCAGTGTTTTTGTACATCTTCGTCGCGTTTATCTGTTTTTAAACACGTATATAGCCGAACATTTTTGCTCGACATTGGCACAAGAAAACTTTTTGAGTTAGACTCTTCGTACGCCGAAGAACTAGATGATCTGGGTCTGCTCCGGAGGCCTACTCAATCACCGACCCCCGCTCCTGCACCTCGCCCAAAATGGAGACGCCTCAAGCGGCGTGAGAGGAAGCAGAAGAGGGGTAAGCGCGGAGGTATCCGAGCTAGGCTAGCGGCTTGCCCACACAAACCCTCTATCCCCTCCATCGTTCTGGCCAACGTACGCTCATTGGATAACAAACTGGACTACATCCGGCTCAGCAACTGTGTCCCGGACCGCGGCATTCAGCTTGACCAGCTAACATGCTATCGTGCTGACAGAGTTGTCGTCGCGGGAGGTAAGACCCGCGGTGGTGGGCTTTGCGTTTACATCAATGACGCCTGGTGCTGCGATGCTGTTGCGGTCTGCAAATACTGCTCACCAGTGTTGGAGTTTATGGTTATTAAGTGCCGGCCGTTCTATCTACCGAGGGAATATACAGCTATACTGTTGTTTACTGTGTATATCCCTCCCACCTCCATTGGCAACAACAGGAGTGAGGCACTGAATGTACTGTACCAGCACATCAGTGAGCAGCAGACAGCCCACCCAGATTCTTTTCTCATCTTGGCTGGGGATTTCAATCATGCAGACTTAAAGAGTGTGTTTCCCAAAATACAGCAACACATAGACTTTCCTACACGGGGAAATAACACACTGGACCTTGTTTACACCACCCAAAGAGGAGCTTACAAGGCTTTCCCCCTCCCCCACCTCGGTGCCTCGGACCACATTACTGTCATGCTAATGCTTGCTCACCGACCGCTCGTTAAAGTCACCAAACCGGTTCGGAAGTAGATACGAGTGTGGCCGAAAGGGTCTTCAGAGGCTTTACAGGACTGCTTTAACACCACAGACTGGAGTATGTTTAAGCAGGCTGCCACATACGACAACACCACTGACCTCCAGGAGTACGAAGAGACTGTTACAGCCTACAGTAACAAATGCACTGAGGATGTAACAGTCACCAAAACCATCACTGTCCATGCCAACCAAAAGCCATGGATGACAGGGGAGGTCTACAGGCTGCTGAAAGCTCGGAACATTGCCTTCAGAGCAGGAGACGAGGCAAAGCTGAAGACAGCTAGGGCCAACCTGTCTCGTGGCATCAGAGAGGCTAAGAGACAGTACTCCAGAGGAATATCCCATCGCTTCAAAGACAGCAGAGACACACGGAGCCTGTGGCGGGGCATACAGTCCATCACAGATTACAAGCCCCCACCTCAGACCTGTGATAGCACCATCTCCCTGCTGAATAGCACCAGTGCACAGAAGACCCCTCCCTCTCCTGGTGACCAGGTAATGACTCTGTCCCCAGACAGTGTGAGGAGATCCCTCAGCAGGATCAACGCATGCAAAGCTCCGGGTCCGGACAACATTCCTGGTCGTGTACTGAGAGACTGTGCAATGGAACTCACTGATGTCTTTACAGACATCTTTAACATCTCACTGAACCAGGCTGTCGTCCCCACTTGTTTCAAAGCCACCACCATTATTCCAGTCCCAAAAAAGTCATCTCCCTCCTGTTTTAACGACTACCGTCCTGTTGCATTTACTCCAATCCTCATGAAGTGCTTTGAATGACTAGTCTTGAAGCGCATTAAGTCTGTCCTGCCCCCCTCCTTGGACCCCTTCCAGTTTGCGTATCGGCCCAACCGCTCAACCGAGGACGCCATCTTCACTGCACTCCATTCAGCACTCACACATCTGGATAAAAAAGACTCATACTTCCGAATGCTGTTCATAGACTTCAGTTCAGCATTTAACACTAAAATCCCCAAACAGCTCACTGAAAAACTGGTCCAGCTGGGGCTCAACACCTCACTGTGTAACTGGTTGTTGGATTTCCTTACAGGAAGACCACAAGCAGTACGGGTCGGCAGTAACACATCCAGCACCATCATTCTTAACACGGGGACCCCTCAAGGATGTGTGTTGAGCCCCCTCCTCTTTACCCTGCTGACCCACGACTGCACAGCGTCACACAGCTCAAACCTCTTCATTAAGTTTGTGGACGACACGACTGTGGTGGGTCTCATTAGCAATAGGGATGAGACCGACTACAGAAGCGAGGTGAGCCGCCTGGCCGCGTGGTGCGGAGACAACAATCTCTCTCTGAATGTGGAGAAGACGAAGGAGACTGTTGTTGACTTCAGGAGAGCGCACACTCAGCACGCCCCTCTGACCATCAATGGGGCGTCTGTGGAGAGAGTGCGCAGTACCAAGTTCCTGGGTGTACACATCACTGAGGATCTCTCCTGGACAAACAACACCACTGCACTGGCCAAAAAATCACAGCAGCCTCTCTACTTCCTTCGCAAACTAAGAAGAGCAAGAGCACCAGCCCCCATCATGTGCACCTTCTACAGAGGCACCATTGAGAGCATCCTGACGAGCTGCATCACTGTGTGGTTTGGAGCCTGCAATGCGTCCTGCCATAAAACCCTCCAACGCATAGTGAGAGCAGCTGAGAGGATCATTGGTGTCCCTCTTCCCTCCCTCCAGACCATCTACAGTACCCATCTCACCAAGAAAGCTCTCTGCATAGCAGCCGATCCCACCCACCCAATGCAAAGCTTCCTCAGCCTGCTGCCATCAGGGAGGAGACTGCAATGTCTCCAGGCCAGGACCAGCAGACTGAAGGACAGCTTCATCCATCAGGCTGTCAGGAAGCTCAACTCTCTCCCGGCTCTGCCCCCACTCCCCTCACTCCCCCCTTCTGCCCCACGGACTTTCTGAAACTTTCCGAATCTCTGTTATACATACACTAACACCCACACACACACTCACCTGCACCAGTCACTTTGTGTAGCATTAGTCTGCTACTCAGCCTACCTCATAAATGACTGTCTGTCCAAGGCTGCTCGTTATTACTTATCACCTCTTATGAGCTCTATTGCACTTTATGCCTGATCTGCACTCTCTGCCATGTGCCCTTATATATTGTATTTATTTATTCATATTTTTCTTACTTGTATTCTTTTTTGTATTAATGTTACTCTTAACTAGGGTTTGTGAGAAAACGTTATTTCAATTCTCTGTATGTTCTGTACATGTGGCAGAATTGACAATAAAGCTGACTTTGACGTTGATGATCCATCATTCATGGAGGTTCTTTGCCAATGGTACTGAATACACAGCCTTAATTGGATGAAATATTTATTTAATATTTGAATTTACAGCCTAAATTTGACAACCAATAACATGTACAGTATTGTATTTATACAAAAGAAAACCACCAGCATCAGTATTTCAATACAAAAAAAGCTTCTGGCTAAGTGGGAGACTTCAGACGCAGGAACTGGACGCACAGACTTTGAAGGCAGAACATATGTGTGTTTGTGCCTTGTGTGAATACATACATACATACAGTACGTACAAAGATAAAGTAGGACAAACTCCACTATGGATACTGCTGAAGCGTCTTCGTAAAGGGCTACCCAGGGCTCCTGGTGCTCAGGGTCTGTCAGCTTGACGAGGCCACTAGACTCCGCCCACGGCTCCGCTTCGAAATCGTCTTGGATGGGCCGCTATAAATGTGACAGTGCAGACACCGCGAGGCAGACCTGGCTTCCTGTGACGCTAGGCCACACGGCCACACATGCATTGCTGTTAGTGTGCGCGCCTGTCGTGTGGGCGTCCACCTGTAGGGGGTGCTGAGATGTGCATGGAGGGCCCCTCCGTGGTCACAGCGCGTAGCCCTTCACTAAGCTGCTCTGCTCGCGGTCGGGTCGCCTGCCCGCGGCGCAGTGAGAATGCCGGCCGCGGGACTGAGAGCTTCACTCAAACGCAGGGACATACATTCGTCTACAGGTACAAGTCACAAAGCTAAGAGGAGAGGCCGGGGGGGTGGCGCTCACGCTGAGTGCAGGATGGCACAGGGCCACGCGTAAAGTCATAGCTCACCTGCAGAAGAGATGGTGACCAGACCACGTGAGCAGGACCTCATCCTCCGAGCGGTCTGAATCCCACACTAAGGGACCCTGAGAAATGCTTTGGCATAAGGCTTTAGATTATGGGATGGGGGAGGGCTGAGTGGGCAGAAAGCCAACTCCAGACGCGGCTTCAACAGCACAGACGACAGCCAAGCTGATGGTATCCTGGGCATTGTTATAACGAAGGAAGACTGCAATCATTTCTAGCAGGGAAAGGCGTGGATCAGACCGTCAGACGTAGCAGCTACAGGCAGGCTAAATGGAATGACCAAACAGCATGGGGCACGGGATCGCAAGTAATGTTTATTTTCCGGGGACATCACAGCGCCAGCAGAAGCCGGCAGCCATGCTTCAGAGCTCAAATCCTCTTCAGAGTACTGAGGAGCAGCCCGCAGTTGGGATGTACTCAGGGCTGGGCCCACACAAAAGGCTTTTCTTTAAAAGTATAAGCTACTGTAATGTCATCAAACTGCAAAATTAGCTTTCCTCTTCCCAGGGTGACGCCGGCTGCCAGCAACGGGAGCTGCTTCTGTAGATGTCTTGTGAATGTCATCTTACCTTCCGGCTAGGAACCTGCCCTCGTGCTGAATCAGAACATTATTGCCTTTGACTGAACATCGTACTGCAAAATGCAGGATTTGCCTGTAATTTTACTTTCCATAAAAAATAGTTCATTTACATACAATAAAGGAAAGCCACAGCATGGGGACACGCCCCAGGTACGCTCATAAGGTGCTATTCAGGTTACATCCATTGATGTGTGTTGAAATTCCACTTAAATTAAATAAAAAATGAAAAAGGACCCCTGGACCCTGAAGGTCATGAGCGCTGACGTGCTGGCAGCAGAGAGGACACACGCAAGGCGGTAGGACAGACTTTCAGGGGAACAGCCATGTACAGGGCCAGCACAAGGCATACGAGAATTAAGCAGCTGCTTTGGGTCCAGCGGCCACAAGGGGGCCCTCATCAGCCTGGCAGATTGGGAAGGAAGATGACTAACGTTATTCAAATTAGGGTCCCGAGAAGGATTGGGCCTGTGCTTTTACTGGAAGCCTTTGGAGATGGGGATGGGGCTGCATGACAACTCCAGGCCGGTCTCCAGGGCTCAGAAAAGTGCTGGGGAACATGAGCTTATATGAGCATCGACAATGCAGAGGATAAAGAAAAGGCCACGCAGTAAAGAGGCCCCACGGAGCCTGCTGTTACCCGCCCTGCCTCTCTGGGGCGTTTCAATTAAACTCATGACACAGTATGTAATCTGGGGGGGGAGTAGAGACATGTTCTCCACCAGCACACGTTCCTTGGGTCTCCAGGTCTCGGGGCAGCAGGATGAGCAGGACACCTCATCATAGGGAGCTGAATGTGCCGATGACGAGGATATGAACATCGAGTGGAACCACAACTTCACCCAGCAACCAAAAGCACATCTGAGACCCACGAGAAAACAGACGCAGCCGCAGACGGGATGAGCCACTGTGGTATTTCAGGTCCCTGTGCCTGTCGTTCTGGATGCCATCACATGACGCACCCTGGGTGCGTGAGCATCAGGCTTTCAGCCATCATCACCCAGGACTGGAGTATCATCATTACATTAATTTAAAAAAAAAAAAAAAAAAAAAAAAAAAAACTGTACAGGTTAACACTCAAAACAGCCTCAGAGCCATACTGCAGAAATCTCAACATTTATATAGAAAAATAAATATGGAATAAGGGCGGGGGGTAAATGAAATGTTAAATTAATGCAGATGAAATCAGATGCCTGTATTTGTATAATACATGTCTATATGGACACTCAAGATACATATTACACACACACAGACCATCAGACTCGTGTCTTTGTGCTACCTCTCCGGCCGACCAGCAGGGGGCGCCGAGGACAGGCCAGAAAGGGACGGCTGTGGCTGCTGACAAAGCCGTATGTTTCGGACTTGTGACGTGCCCATGAACAGCTCCAGCAGTAAAACAAACGTCTAGCGCTCTGGGGTGGGGGTGGGGGGGTGCCTCAGAACCAGCTGCTCTAAGAACACACACACGTGGTAAACAGTGATCGGTGCTGGAGCAGGACCCGGGTAGCAGTCACTGGATTACGGCTCTGTGATGGGCGGCGGGGGGAGGAGACCTTCAGAATTTGGGCTAGGTAATGATGTAAGTGACAGTCCGGTGAGAGGGGCTCTCCAGGTGCTTCAAGGTTGGTTGAAGTTCTCCCATGTGCTACTGGTCACTCAGACAATACTGTCGATGGGACGAAGGAGCAGCTGAAGTTTTGCAAAATGATACATTATATGATAGATATATCTATATATGGAGAGAGTCAGATCTTCCAGGAAATGAAGAAAACGTTGAATCCTTTGAAACTATCATCAGAAGTTGACTGCTACATTAAAACAGTACAATTTCAACACTGGCTAAAAAGACATTTCTGCAAGATGTATTCATTTGTTTAAGTTCGCTCCACGCTTCAGTCTTTACCCATCATCCCACAGGCAGCCCCGCCCCCTTCCTCTAATGGTCCTGATTGGCAGGGTGCAACAGCATCGCAGCAATTTCTTTTATTTATTTATTTTTTTATAATCACAAGAGTTGTATCGAGGTTCCTGGAGTAAAATGGAAGCAGTACAGAGGAGGTCCGACCTGTCCTGATGCTTCAGGCTGGTCCGTTCAGAGAGGCCTCCGCTGACGGGGGTGCATCCCCTCTGTGAGGCAGAGAATGTCATGACTTACCAGCAGGGGGCGACAGTACAACATTACAATCACATGCCTACTGTCAATGCACATTAAAATGTCATAGTGCCTCTGTATGCTTTGTGGGAAACTGAGCTAAGCATTAATAACTGGCTAAAAAAAAAATGTAACAAAGCATTCTGACTGGCAGTCGTGTACTCCATCTATCGGCACTTTTCCACTGGCATACAGGAACAGAACTGTACCCGAGACCTACGGCAAAGAGAACCTAGTCACAGTGCGGTTCCAGCTCGCTTCGGTTTTCCACTGAAGACAGATCGGCTCGGTGAAGGCGTTGCCGGGTTTGGAGAGCAACAGTGACATAAAATCAAAGAGATGCTTGTTTACTGTTCACATGGTGTACATCATGATTTAATGTGTGGTCATTTCTGTTAGCACATCTGTGAGAATCGCCGTGTCATGCCACCAAGAAACGCTAACGGAATTAGCATGCGCTTGCATAAATTTGCCCTACAAATCCATTCCGTTCAGCTGTACTATAATGCTTTCTCAAGTTGGCATTTGGAAATTGTCAAGTTTCGAGTTATCAGGAACCGGTACATTGCGATGTGTGATGCTACTAATGATGAATAATATATAGAATATGCCTTGATAATTTCTTTGATAATCCATGCATAGACACAGATCACAAGGATCTCCATGCATCTCTACCAGTCAGATGGCGGTGACGCTTTCCATCCTGCTAGTAAGTAGGGCCACGATGACTCGGGTACGGCTCAGTTCTTGGTGGCAGTGGAAAAGCACCACATGAAAGGCACAGACGACAAGGGTCCCATTAACCGTGCCGATGAAGCTGGCGGGGTTGGAACTCACTTCCTGCCAGTCACAGCGAGATCCCCGGCACTGCTGGACGTGGTGGTGCCGAGCGGGTCAGTCGCAGCCCTCTGGGGCCCGTCCGTGACGGCCAACTTGTCCAAGGGCAGGGAGTCAACATCGGTACTGCAAACGGACACACACACAAGCACACGCACGGCTGTGAGGGCCCGGCCCCTGGGACGAGGCAGAGGGGCACGGCGGTTAATCAGTTGCCACATGTCAGGCACTCCTGGGGATGGCAGGGACGGGGACGGGTGGGGGTTCCAGGTTAGACAGGCGGTTAGCGGTTCTACTCATCGCAGCGCAGCAGCCCAGTTCCGTTTCCATGTTTTTGTGCACAACATGGCTCCACTCAGAGACGCACGGGGGCTGTGGGGGACCGGCCACTCCGTCGCGGCTCTAAGCCCTCGTGCGAGTGGCTCACTTCCTCACAAACGGTTTGCTCCTGACACCAATGTGGTTTCTCATCACCCGCCACTGGTGGCCAAGCCACACAGACTTCTGGTTTGACTCATGATCTTCCAGAGCAGCTACTGCAAAGCCACACAGGAGCAGTACCTTTGCAAAGGTGCCCAGGGCCCTTCCCTTCACACAGCTCAGGGACATCATGCAGAGCATCTGTGCTGTGTTGATGGGCTCGAGTGGAGTGGGTATTGGGCGAAACGGAATTCGGCTGCTGCCTGGTCACCACCACAGAAACCAGTTCAGACTGGACATGTCAGATGGGATGCTGCTGGTTTGATGGAGGCTTCTGCAGGTGGCAGAGTCAGAGGTTGGCCTTCATGGACCACCGCTGTGCAAAGCCCAGGTAGACCTTCAACCTCCAAACCAGTCCTGCTTCTAGCAGAGCTGCACAGGATCTGACACCAAGCAGCAGCAGCAGGAAATGTATTTTTAGTGGGTTAAGGCGTCACTTAGTAGGTTAAGAGTCTTGTGACACATTCAGAAACACACCGCAAAACATCAGTGTGCATCGAGCTACGTACCCTGCATCTGCAGGCTTAAACACCCTGAGATCCACAACAGAGGGAGGCAGGGGGCGGGGGGGGGGAAAGGACAGCTCATATCAGAGGAAGGAAAAGTAAAGGAACCCCACCCCCAGGCACAGAAGCGGCCAACAAGCAGGACACCCTACGAGAGGGGCGAGGGGCCAGTGCAGACTGGGGGGCAGGGGACCCAGTACTTTATAACAGAGCGTTCCCCTCGAGGAAGGGCTCCATTTCGTCTGCTAGGCAGCGCAGGTCTACAAACACAGCCAAACGTTGTAATCGGTGGCATTTCGCAAATCGGACATGAAGCAGCAGGCCAGTGGTCATGAAGTGTCCAAATGAAAGGGGCCCCTGACAAACTGCAGAGGTGCCCGAAAGTGTGCATGGTCATCAAAACGGCTGAAAACTGTTTCCGTTTTCTGTGCAGGGAATAGGTCAGTCTCAGGTGCTACCATTAGACTCTGGCTAATCACTCTGAGGTCATTTACCAAAAGGCCCCAGCAGCAGGGACGATGGCTCCCCAATCAAGGCGGAGCTTATCCCAATTTGGCAGTCAGATGCGCGCGCAGCCCACTCTCCTCGGAACACCGCCACACCGGGCAGCAGTCTGGGGTCACGTTCAGCTCTGGGTACCACCGTGTGACGAGGCACTGAACATCATAGCAGTGAGGAGGGGCCTCAGCTGACAGGCTGCCCGGTTACCGGCCGTACCTCTTGAAGACCGCCTTCTCACTTTTGGCATCCACGCTGAGCTTCACCGTCTCCTTGCCGGCACCCGTGGTGATGGTCTCCGTGACGATGTTGCCCGAATCCTCTTCCTCCTCACTGTCCGAGCCCCCAGAGGAGCTGCTGTCGGAGGCGACGAGGGGGGCCTTTCTGGCACCACATACGTTCCATGCACAGGGGGAGGAGCCCTTGGCTGTGGGGGGCACAAAGCTCGTTCACGCAGGAGGACACTTGGACACCGCAGCACTGAGTGAGACAAAGCGCTTCTCACGGGGTTTGGCTTAAAGCCAGCCTCTACTCACTGCTCTTATCCTGGTTCTGCGGAGAACGTCCTTCTGAGCTGTTCTTCGCAGAGTCCACGGGGGAGCTACATCGAGGGCCAGACTCCGAGCTGAAAACAAACCGATCAAAGATAAAAACCTCAGGACAGAGACAAGAGAAAGTACAGCGACGGGCAGGACACTTTACGAAAGGACACGTTTCTTCATAAACATTGCTCCGCAACGTTAACGGACATACAAGACAGCCCAAACAAATAACCGCCAAAGCAGGATCTGCCCACAGCCCTTCTCAGAGCTCACCAACAGAAGCTCTGGAAGTCTGTGAACTTGGCCCAGCCTTTTTCCTCGGAGCCGGCTGAGTTCTGTTGGGGGGCGACCGAGTCCCACACGCTGGAGCCAACGTCCACCGCCACACAGGGGCTGGGCTCCTTTGCCAGGTCCTCGAAGTTAGCCGTCCAGCCCGGGCCTGTGGCAGAACGCAGATGTGTGGGACGTGTGTGAGGTGACGGCAGAAGGAGCATACCCAGGGCAGGCACAGCACCGCACACCAACCAGCACGCATCAAGCATCTTACACACTCTTCATGAATTTTCTAATTAATCTGCTGTATTAAAGCTGAACATACTGACTGCATTTAGGGTCAGGACCATATCTGAGAAAAAGCCACTGTGTTCAAAACCACATGGCCCATTTTTTTAAATTTAAAAGCGTGTGCAGACATTTCCAAATGATATCCGGTGTGCCGCTGACTTCGCCACAGACAGGAGGCCACAGACATGCACGTGAACGGCCGCGGGACATGTGTGTGTCAGACCCTGCACCCCCTGGCCCTCACTTTCTGGAGAGCAGGCCTGCTGGTCTCCCGGGATCTTGTTTTTGGTGTTCTCCATTTGCGTGGCTGCCTTACTGGGCTCCAGCTGCTCGTCATCTTCATCTGAACCTGGGGCCGGGCCGTGCTCACGAGCCCCATTCTCCACCTTGGCCTTGGAGGAGCCTTCCGTGGTGAGAGAGACCCCGAATCTGAAAGACAGCGACACACCATGTGAGCTGGTGAAAGCACATCTGCATGGTGAGTAGTGATGCCGTTTAACTCCCATATCTCCCATCGTATTACTGTAACCACAGCCAGGGCAACATGATCTTTGACTGCAGGAGGACACACAAGAGATCAGGTGGGAAAGCAGCAAAATCTGGCCTTCCAACATACCTTGTCCTCGAACGGACTTGTTTTGCATAGTTGATCTCTCTGTCTTCCCAGATATCCTCTTCCTCCTCGTCATCAAACTGTTGTATTCTTTCTTTACAGCAGGCCTCAAACACAGCGGAGTTAGCCTGCATCCAGAGACACATGCAAGACAATTAGCTGTGGCCGTCAGACCTACCAAGTTTAACTTAACCCTTGTCCCACCACTATTTGTGATCGGCCAATCACAGTTTACTCCATTGGAAACATACTGGATACAGTGCCGTATCATTGGCTGACTCATCCAACACACACTCTTAAAACTAACAGGGAAGAACACAGATAACGGTCATGCAATCCACTCTACGGACCCCTATCACCCAAAAGGAACAGTCTCTCTTCTAAGCTGCTCTGAAATATGTGGGAAGGTTAAGGAAAGACTCACACTCTCGTCATCGGCATCTAAATTGAAGTTTATCTCCGCAATCCTATCGAACGTGGCACTGTGGGACAGAGAAACACGTGGCAGTCAGAATGATGCAGGTCTTTTTGGAAAGGTGATGACAAACAAACCCAGACAGGGGATTTGAAAAGGACAATGATTCAGCAGGCAATGAAATCTTACTTGATATTGTCGTCATGGTCTGAAAATTCCTCATCATTGAACCCAAACTGATCTACAAAGTTGGCCGTCATCTGCTGGATCTGATAGTCTGAAAAGGCCTGTGGTGGAAAAGGGCGTTTCGGGTGAAAAACGGGGTTCTTCGACAGACGGACGCTTTATACCTTAGCTCGGCACCGCTTACCTGCTGGAGGGACAGCTCATTGGGGAAAGGGCTCTCCATGTCGTCGTCCTCGCTGGAGGAGTGTAGATTGTGGGCGCTGACCTGGGAGACACAGCATGGGATTAGCTGCAGCCTAGCTGTGTGTCTGATGATCAGGCAGAGGCAGCTCCTCACCAGCTCCACAGCGTTCCTCCTGTTGGTTTCTGTCAGGGTCTCATCCACGAAGCTCTCCCAGCGCCCTCTACAGTCCTCAGGCAGCTCTGCAACACGACAGACACAGAAACATGAGTACAGCCATGGGAACGAGCCAATCGCCTGACGTTTTTAAATCAGCGTGTCACAGCAGAACGGCATAGTGAGAGGCGCACCTTTGATGAGGTCGCCGATCTGGGCCTGCACCGGCCCCTTCTCTAGATTCTGCACCACGATGTTGGCGATTCGAGTGAGGTGGCCCATGTTTCCTCGTCTCATGCCACCTTCAGCTCTGCAAGTCAGGAGGGGCACATCCTGTGAGAGATGGCCCTGCAGAGAAACCTAGCCACCACCGGGTGGCGATAATGAAGACTGCGCTGAACCCTATTCATGAAGCATGACGGCTTCGGCTCTGTCCTCTTAAGTGACCCCTTTCCCTGACCGTTAAAATGACGTTCCAAAGAGAGCATCCCCGTCACAATGGAAGCATTCAGATGTGGCCTTACACACAGCCCAGTGATTCGTCTCTTACTGGATTTTCTCGTTTTCCTCCCATGCATCCAGTATCCTCTGCACCAGACGACACTTTTGGAAGAGCTGGGGGGGACGACACAGGTCAAAAGTCAAGAGGGAGCGGAGACTGCAGAAGGGGCAGGGAGGAGTGCAAAGGGCTGCTAACAGAAGCGACACCGCTAGCTCACAGCGAAGCCTGCGAAGGCCCATGTGTGTGTGTGAGACAGTCCTGGAGGATGACTTGATTAAAAAGAGGTTTAGTAAAGCCAAGTTAAAGTATCATTCTTTTAGAGCAATTAAAACATACCTGTTTACCAAACCCGGCCTTTTGACCCCAGATCATTAATGAGTGTGGAGAAGCCAAGGTTTCACCCAGAATAGACATCAATGATGTCCACATCTGGCCTCCCCATCCTCCCACTGTCTACTTAATTCATCCCTAAAGGGGACATTCAGTCCTGTGCGGTGTCCAGCCCAGCACACAACCACCCAACTTAAAGGGTTTACAGATCAAGCAGAAAGAAGCAGAGCAAAACAGGAGTGAATAAACAGGGAGGAGAATGAGGTGGAATAAGCGCAAGCTGAGCCTGATCCTCACGTGAGCCACCAGGGTGTTGCTGCCCGAGGCCTCGGCCGTCTCCCCCATCCCTTTGTCCTTGTCCACCTCCACCTCCTCTTTCTGCTCCTGCCCAGAGCGGCTCAGGATGGCCATCACACACAGCTCCACTTGTAAGTGCAAGAAGTTATTCCAGGTGTATTTAAAAAATAAATCCTGTGGGGCGACATGACAAAACGGGAAACTGTGAGCTCCTCCACAGCGGTGGATCGTTTCACGGCCACCTTGACCGTCACACCCCCTGGTGGCCAACCCGAGCACTCACGAGCAGCAGGTCGACAGTGCCCAGGCGGCAGAGCTCCTGGCTGATGGCGAGCGTGCAGCACTGCAGCAGAGAGGCCACCAGGCGTGCCGCATGCAGCCGCGCATTCCCCAGCGGCACCTCCAGCACCCCGATGGTGGTCAGGATGGCGGCTTTCTGTTAACGGGCGAGACAGGCGGCCGTTTAGTGCGTCGGGTGGCCGGCATCCCTAAGGAACTCCCCTGGGAGCCCAGCGAGAGGTGTCCACACCTTGGGGGGGTCCAGGAGAAGTTGCTGGAAGTCTTTCAGATGAGGTTCAATAGCATCTAATATGCTGCTACTGACAGTGCAAGAGCGTTGATATCCCTGAGAAGACAGGTCCACCAAGCCCTCCACCCTGCGGGAGACAGCAGAGTAGGGAGAGCTTAGCTAATGCCCCCCCCCCCTTCTGCCTGTGTGCTGTACGGCGACGCCCCTACGCTGTAGACCTGTGCCGGAACGCCCCACAGCACCATTCGCATGCAGTTGTCGCCCCTTAGTGTAAAAATGGGATCTCACCCTGGCCTCCTTGCTTCCAGCAGCGTGAGGAGCACTTGAGTGCCGTTGACGATGCAGGTGTCGCTTTTGACACCATCGAACATGTTCCTCAGCAGCTCCGACACGGTCTCCTGACTGAAGAGGACACGGAGGACGCATGTGAGACAGGCTGACACCCCTGCAGAGAGAGGAAGGGGCGCGGCGGTGCAGGCGACTCACGACTCCAGCGTGCCGAGCAGTGGGTCCGACTCCACGGCATCCTGCGGCTGTGTGGCCTGGTCACGACCCAGGCGGATGATGTCGCAGAGTGTCTGCGAGGCATTCGACTGCCTCTGTGTGGCAAACCGCCATCGAGATCAGGTCAAGGAAGCCATACAGCACAGAAATAATGGCTAAACTGACATAGGCCCGCCAGATGGGGGTAGGCACGAGTCAGAAGGCAGCCACCCTAGCAGATAACTCAACAGACTCACCTCGTCATCGACACCAGAGCGTAAGAGCTCCATCAGCCTCTGGATGAGCTTCTCTTCGTTTAGCCACTGGAAGAAAAGAAGATCAAAAGGAGATGGTACATTCCAAATAAACCCAAGAGATCACATCAAGGCCATGGAACACGGACTCATGAACCACAGTCCAGACCACCACAGCCACATAATCAGATATCCACAATATTCCCGGATGCTTTTTTTGACTTGCAGAGGTCACATGGTCTCCGAAATGCTTTAAACCCACGGAGAACTATCTGTGAAATGCATCTACCCACACAGAAGCAACATCTCATTCAGCCAAATGCTGAAAAACAAACATCCAACATTGTGATTTGCTTAATATACATTTAATAAAATGGAATCTGTGGTATTTAAATGACAGTGACAAAAACAGACATGATCATATTTTAATTGGTAAAAGTATTATGCCTAGTGCAAAATACAAAACTTGCATTTAGGAAGGTGTCATCGTAAAGATGGCATTTATAACTAACCACACATTGTAGGCTGGAGTTCTGGGGACTGAAAAGCAGAATACATAATGCTTATTTAACGGTACGAAAACAGAGGGGTAACGACACAATGTAGCCACAGTAAACTGTCGAAAGCCCCCTGCTCTGCATTCAGGCCGCCTGAGGTGATTAGAAGCAGCAATAAAGCACCAGCACGATGCCTGTGTACTACGCACGCTCGACCGCTGACACGCGACCGACTCGGGACTCGCGTTGAGCACGTCCTGCCTCAAAGGAGCGGGCACCAGCACGATGCCTGTGTACTACGCACGCTCGACCGCTGACACGCGACCGACTCGGGACTCGCGTTGAGCACGTCCTGCCTCAAAGGAGTTGGCTCCACACAGCTGATCAGCCGCAGGAGGAGGTCCATCATGGCAGAGGTGTCGATGTGCTTCAGCACCAGACTGATAAACTCATCCTTCTTCCTTAAGAATGCGATGACCTGCAGCAGAAGTTTGCTTGTCATTAGCCACCAACAAAATGGCCACTTCGTACAGCCGACACACTGGCATAAAGCTTCCCAGACGGCAGGCTCAATACTTCAAAGAACACTTGTACTATGACTTATTACAGACTTACCAATGCAACACACTGGCTATGATCACATTACAAGCCTCATTGTCCAATTCTGAATTTTTGCTAAGATATGCGAATCCAATTTTGATTCATAATTACAAGTGACCTGTGTCTAACGGTAATGTAAACGCATCTGCCCTCCAAAGCAGGTCGCATGCACGCATTGATACGTTTTTGAATGACTCATCTCTATCACCAACAACAAAAAAATGCTCAGCACATAAGTATAGGCAAAAAAAAGCACATGAATCAATCTGACGCTCATTCATGTTGTACGGCCACAAACTGGATATGTATCAGACCACACAGGAAAAGGACTCAAATCTAATTTGAAAAGATCGGATTTGTGTGTCCACACTACCCTGAGTATATCAGAGCAGTTTGGTAGTATGAATGTAGCCTTTGTTTTAGCTTAAAGTGAGAACAGAACCAGCTAATTACGGATGTTTATACAAATGCATACAAACACGCAGATATGTTAATAGGCAAATGTACACGTGAGAACGTTTTTTGACCATTTAGCAGATATAGAAAGATCGTGAAACCGGCGTTCAGAAAGCCCAGGGGTACGATGAAGTTACTTAAGGACCCTCGGAGGACACACCTGCTCAGTCTTGCGAGCGATGAGGTTGCCAATGGTCTTGCTGAAGAAGCTGGCCAGCAGCGGGTTGAGGGGGGGCTGCTGCAACAGGAAGCCATAGAGCCCCTCCAGCAGGGACTCGTTCCCCGCCAGCTTCTCATTGATCTGGCTCACATCTGATGTCAGCAGCTCGCAGGCGACGTTGGAGTATCTGTGAGATGAGAGCCATTGAGGGAATGAGGCTAAATGACAGGCAAGGGCATGAGGGGAGGACAGAAATTCCACGTTTCCCTCGGCGTTATTTGCGTTTCACATAAGAGAAGCCGTAGATGTAGACCTCTGAACTCCATGTACAATAACGGGCACCTAGAAGATGCCTTCACCAAGCCATAACGATAATTGTCCCCAACCCAAGTTCTGTCATGCCAGATGACTCACATTCTGAGTTTTGTGGCACATCACAGCATCTTTCTACAGCTGTTATTACAAGAATGAGATCCCGAGAAGATTAACTGTTAATTACCCCGCTGTTATCATTCATCTGCCACTTTGAACAGACATGAATGATTCAACAGCAGTGACCGTTCAACAGAAGCATAATCAGCAGAGAAAACTCTCCATTTCACGTCAAACATGACAAGGAAATCGTTTTATTTTACCCCTTCTGCAAAAACTGCAAAGTACAGAGCATAATAAGTTTTGGGAAGGTGGACCAGCTGGAGGGGTCCCCGAGGCCGGGCACGAGGGTGATGGACAATGAGCATGACAGATCACCGGGGGGCGCCATCAGTAGCGCATGATATCATGGGAACCAGGAAATGGGAAGGCAGGCTGCTGAAACCACAAGATCCGTACGTCCGCACACCTGCCGACCTGGGCTTCCACGGGCAGCTGGTCTCACACTCACAGGTGTGCCACTGTAGGTGTGCGCTTTACCATCTGTATAAATAATCACGCTCGCACCAAGGAGAAGACAGCTGTGAAAAATATAGATTTTATATTTGATATACTGTATATATATTTTTTTTATTTTATTTAAATTACCTTCTATAATATAAATTCACATAGTGTGTGAGGAATGCTGGGAATAATCAGGAAACATGAAGAGAGAATAAGAGTCACATCCAACAGCAGCTCTTAGACACGCAGGCCGGAAGAGCCGGCGCAAGGGGGTGGGGCCACAGACGGATAAACAGCTGTTGCTATTTTGGTTCAGCAGCAGTCCCCTGTTGGGGACACAGGCATTCCTCAGTCAGGATGATGTGCATTGTTACCAAGAAGGACATGCCGGTCCCAGCATGGCTGGGAATACATTAAGCCAATGAATCGGTTTGCCAACCCCTTGGCTGGTTGAGCAGCACACAGGCATATGAGAGGAGGCTCGCTTCCACACACACACACACACACACACACACACAGCAGTGTTAAACGGCACAATTAAAGACCCAATTTTCTCTTCCGAGGACGTGCTTTAATGTACTCGGAAGAAGGACGGTCCTCCGCATAAAAAAAACATGGAATGGAAAATTCGAGGGAGAAATGTAATTAAATTTTCATTTTCTGGAAATTTCATTATGACACATGACTAGCTGAAGGAAGAAGGGAGTGACACTGAAGGGGACCTTTGTCAGAGTGGCTCTACAGGCGTTTAGGGGCTTCGGTGGTGGAGCCCCGGCAAAGAGTCCACGGCTGCCGGCGAGGAAACCATCCACAGCACACCCTGCCCCCCCATGCCGAGTAGTGGTCTCCTGGGACAGCTAAAAACAGCATGAACTTGACGCTGGTGCCTTTCTAACCGAGCAAGTACACCTGACCAGTCAGAGACCAGCGTCACAAGTCAGGCGGCGGGAAGGACAGGCGTCCAATTACTACTCTGAGCAGGAGAAACACTATCTGCCGGCAGGAGGAGGCGCCGTAAACTGCACGGACACCCGACCCGTGTTTACGGGTGGCAAAGGCACGCATGGGGACGGTTGGGAGGCCAGAGAGCCATCTTAATGCCGACAGCACAGAGAATGGAGCAGGACAGGAGGCTGCTGCAGTGAAGCCCTGCTCCCTTGGGGCAGAGCCGCAGCGACTGTATGCGTTTTCCGAAACAAGAACCCGGAACCCTGCCCCTGGCATGTGGTTCCCTAACCCGGAACCCTGCCCCTGGCATGTGGTTCCCTAACCCGGAACCCTGCCCCCTTGCCCCGGCCAGCTCACTTGAAGCGGAGCTTCTCCTCCACGTCCAACGGAGGCTCCCGAGTGATGAGCTCCACCAGCTCCCGCATGCACTCATCTTGGCTGAGGAGGGTGAGCAGCCGGCGATTCTGGGCCTTGCACTCCTGCAGGACGTCGTCCTCGTCCATCAGCTCACGCAGCGTCACGTCCTCCTTGTCCAGCAACTTGTCCACGTTGGACGTGGTGTGCAGGTCGAACTTCCAGAACATGGCAGCTGGCCGTGCAGACCTGGGGGGCACAAGGGTACATACATCACCATTTTCTTCTGGGGAAACATTATTTTACCCTCCTGATACTTTCGTAAACACTAATGAAAAAAATTAATTCAGACAGAACACCACACTATCTAGCAGCAAGAAGCATTTGCATATTACATATTACACTGGTAATTGAGAGAGAGGAAAACACTGAATTGAAAAGAAAACAAACTTTCCATTTGATATGCAAGACAGCAGGGTAGTTTGAGGCTCAGAGCCTTTGGACCATCACAACTGGGCTCTCAGAACCAAAGTGCAGCAGCAAGGATGCCTGAATGTGTGACACAGGCGGAGTGTGAAAGAACCAGGTCCCACCAGTCTTAAATACAGAGAAGTGTCACAATTGGCACAATTATCTCCAAAACTAGAGATCCCTGAGGTGACAGCTCATCAGTTCCAGTCTCTCATTAGTCAGGAGTCCAGCAACTAAATCTCACACAGATACAATGTGTGCATGAGAATATATACAGAGGGAAAGAGCCATGAGACGCAACAAACCAAGAAGCTCCTAGAGCAGTCTGGTCACATGACCCCATTTAAACACCATCATCCAGTGACTGGGCTTCCTCTAGGGCACAGTTAACTTAATTCAAATGACTAAGGCACAAGGAAGCTCCCAGCAAACTAAGTAGTTTGCACCCTCACAACTGGTCTTCATTAATACCATCAACAATAACATAATGCTCTTATGCTTAATTAATAAAAAAAAACAACAACAACCCCACAAATGCACAGGCATGTGCCTCCACACACAGGCCAAAAGCAAAGGACATTCCAGATATGTAGGACTTGGGCAGAACCCTAAGTATGGGAACGTGACTGATTTCTGACATTTTCAAACTGCATCAACTTACGTAACAAAATATTCAGCTGTAAGAAACCCAAGAGTCATACCTGTAAAATGAGAATTTAAAAGCAGGCGAATCAAACGCCATTTATATCCAGCAGCTAATTGCTTAGGCTAAACCATTATGACCAATAAAGTTTGATCCATCTGGATCTCTTTCAGTTTTAACACAGACACGTGAAGAGTCACCCTGAAGAAGCCAGCATCTCTACAGGAAGGAGGGCAAATGTAACGAAGGCCGATGGCCTGGTGTTGAAGCTCCCTTACGGGGCCTCAAGCACTCTGGAGCAGAAAACCAGCTTCAGCCTGCCATGCAGTCACCTACACGTCTTTAGTAAAGGCAGCATTTGCTTCATCTTAAGCAGCTTGTTCACCCAAGATGATTTGTCAAACAGGAATGTTTTTATCATAGGTAATTAAGAATATGAATTACCTTTGTAAAAATGACTGTATCCTTAATGAATCCTCTTCCACTGGTTGAGAAACATTTGTCTCGCAGATTGCAGAACGCCAGACGTAGCCTTTCAATAATCAGCATGGGACTTCTGCCTTCAGAGTCCTGGGAGCAGGCAAGAGAGGCGCAGTTATAATACACAGGGCACATGGCAAAATCGCACACAGCAAGCACATGCAAGACACAGGAGTGGCCATTGTCAGATTCTTCCCTGTATCTAGTTCCATAGTACTGAAATGCTACAGCTCGGCTCATAAGAATTTCTTCCATTTCCATTGGGTCTTGGAGAAATTAGTACACAACCCCAGTCAACTTAATTAGCAGAGGTGGAGGTTTCAGGTCCAGAGAGTACAAATCCAGCCCAAGATTTTGTTTGAACCAACCAGTTGAGTACTCTGTGACTGTGACTCTTTATACTCAACTGGTTGGTTCAAACAAAATCTTGGGCTGGATTTGTACTCTCTGGACCTGAAATCCCCACCTCTTTTAATGACCATTTCATCGACCGCCTGATCGGTAGAGGTGCTTGTGCAGTTTGCAACCTGAGGAGGATGCCAAGATGCCTTATCGAAGTCCTTGCTTGAAAAGGCCTGTGATAGACGAAAGTAAAACCTCAATGTGCAATTCAAGCAAGGGAAGAAAAGAACATGGACAGCCAGACTGAACATGCACTACAACGTGCATTTAAAAACCCCAAAGATCTCCTCATTCAAATCACCACCAGACAACAGAACACGCAGTTGGAAAGCGAAACGTTTGGCAAAGGACTTCCCTTTTCAGTCAGAGGACATGTGCCACCAGCCAGTGCACCATTCACCGGCTATGCATAGGTGTGTTGAAGTTAAATTGCATCAGTCAGGGCTGAACAATGAAACGCAAAAAAGCAATTTAATCAGCACCTTACTAATATCTGTAAATGTATAGCCAGCTCCTGGTTATGCCAGCTGCAGGCCTTGCAGTGACAGGGAGCCTTCGGTAGGTGAAAACTCCCCATCCAGAGTCACAATGACCATGTAGCCTGGAGACACTGAAAAACAACCCCCCTCCCCACCAGGCAGCGCAGCATAAAAGCTAAACTTGAGTTGAACCAGGAAAGAACGCAGGGGACTGTAGTGCATTTCCATGCAGCAGCCTGTTAGAAAAGAAAGACTTCATACAGTTTATTGCTGAATTTCTTGTTCCAGCAATATGACGAAAATACAATTCTACAATGACTATTCTAATACTCTAAATGACTGCTATGAATAAATAAGCAACCAGAATCATGTCTAAACCCAAGAAATTTCCATAGGCATTTAAATCCATGAAGAGATCAGTAAAGCACTTACTAATGAGTCCTTCATATTGAAATCTGGCAGTCACATTTTTGTTTCTTCATTAATTCCACTGGAGATTCAGGAACCAACCACTCAAAAACCGCGTCTCAGGCCATATCAGCTTGCTTTGCCATAACTGACAGTGAGCCAGCCAGAATCAATAGCTATACTAAATGTATTTCTCAATGGCACTCAATGGCAGGTGCACGCCCGCATTCTCGTTACACACAAGAGTGGTGTGCATGTCTAACAGCCTTCCATCCCTCCTAGGACCACACACGCCTGTCAATATTCAGGCCTGACTATTATACTAAGAGAAGAACACCTTGAACTTCAGGCATGTTCTTCTATGAGGGCAGGAACAGCACAAATATGACAGCAATTTACTCCTGTGGGGTGGAGTCTGGGTTCACTCCCATCATGCATCAATGAACCATTTTAAACATTATTAGCAGGCCTAAAAAACAAGAACACCTGATCCGCAGGCCACAAAAGCCTTCCTATGAAAACATACCCCTGTCGTTCGTGTTAAAAAGACCAAAAAACTGAAGCAAAATGTGAGCCAAGCACCCCAGCAAGGATGCCTGGCAGGTTAAAAGGAGGGCAGAGTAGAGTGGTGCTGGCAAACAGGACTGCATGCAGCCCCCACCAGCTCAACGATAGCGGAAAGCACAGCAGGATGGGGTAAAAATGAGAGCGACGCAGCATGGCTAAATTAAATTGCAAGGCTGACTCGCTCCACTGTCTTCCATCAGCCGCTGTTCCTGCAGGGAGTACAGCTCAGGTTTATTCGCTGCCAGCAAGGAGAGGCATATGGGCAGAGAATGCAGAGATTCTCTTGTAATTTTCTGATTTTCTAATTCAAACACAAAGAAAAAAAATTGTGTACAATCTGGCCTCTGGAAGTTTTAATTATACAAGAGAGAATGTCAAACGCACCAGCTATCCAGCTTCTATAGAAGTAATTGCATAAATTTTCAGTGAGCATATGTGTGCCACAGTTTAGTGTTAATTCCTCTACTCTGGAAGATACAATCAAACTGCTGTAGTTACTTTTCATAGGTAGTAAAACCAACCATCCATGTTCTGTTTCTTGGGTCAGACACCATCCCTCACTCACAATAAGCCCTTCATCGCACTGAGGATTCACAAACACCAAGGACTGCAAACCACAGATTAGTGCAAATGTCACAGCGCAGAAACTCTGTTTTATAAATTCAAGCACATAAAGAGGCCACAGACAATCAGAAACAGACACTGCAGATGTTGCCACTGAGACAGAGCAAACACTGACTGTGCAGATGATATTAATTTTACTTTCCACAGAAAGTGACCCATATTAGAACAATCTCCTGGTGAGGTCAGACATTGATTTTTTTCTCCCCATTTTTTAAAAAACAGAAGAGAGTAGCCTGACTGCAGTTAATGTAACCCCCGTCACAAATTCAACACACCATTTTCTTTCATTTCTCCTGTCTGTCCATGAGCCTGACAGCAAAGCACAATGTTCACAGTTTAACTGCCATGGTTTTGTTGAGCAGCCAGAGATAAAGGTACCAATTCATCCTTAAATTGCAGAACATGAGGGAAGCAGGCAGGCCATTTGGCCAAAGGAAAAATTGTACAGGGAAATATCCAGAGACGCTGCTTTGCCAATCACCTGACGGTACTGAAGGTCCTACACAAACACCCCTTTACAAGGCCTTGACACAAAACAGTCAGCTGAAAAACAGTAACAGGAATGGTCTTTTATAACCCCAAGTTCCTGCTGGACTTCAGTCCCTCCCACACACAGCTGTGCTCCGTTTCCTGCAGACTTCCCGGACATTTGCACACTCACCTTCCTCCTCTTCCTCCTCCTCTTCCACACTTCTCACACAGGGCAGAGACACTCTGTCAGTGCACTGAGGTGTACACGTGGCACCGTGCTATACAAAAACCAAATGCACATTCTGATTGGCGGCCACAGAGCTCCTTGTGAAATACGCCCTCGTGAAACACTTCCTCTCGCTCTGGAGTCAAGCCTCAGTTCATAAAAATGATGTGCGAGGAAAGCCAGCTCTGCCCATCATGAGGCCCCAAGGAGACTGCTAACAGACTAGTTCCTTATTGCTGTCTAGAGAAAACAGGTGCATTGCCCCTTGGTTCATCATGCATTCATTTTCCTCTTGTAAGGTTAACCATACTTTAAAGAGCTCCCATTGATATTTCTAACCGAGTTGGCATTTAACAATGGATTTTAAGAGGCTGAAGAACTGTTGCTAAGGGCTAACTGCTTAAACAGCTATCTGTATTGCTAAAGTAAGCAAATGGAAATCCATAGAAACTGTTTCCTAAATGGATGATTTGTGAACCAAGAAATGAGGAGCTAAAACTGCACATTAGTTTTCTAATACTCAAACAGATGTCACCTTCACTCATCGCTTTGTTATACATTATGCACCAGCATTGAATATTCACCACCCAAAGGGGATATTATGGCCAAAGTCCACAGTCCAATTGCATTTTTAATGATGCCTTAGTTACAATACACCATGCTGTTGTACACCACGAAATCTAAACAATGACAAACAAAAAAGAAAAAAAAATCTAGACGATGGCATCTAAACATAACAGTGACTGATTCCCAGAGTGGTGACAATAGTCACTTTTCCATGCACATTAATGAGCTTATGGAAACATTAAATTTCTGCATAAGCCTTATACACTGTTGCAGATAAAGGCAGCCATCCTGCCAAAAAGATAAACCAAAAGCTTCAAAACTAATCATACTGGGGTTACATGCTAAACCTAAAACTTTTTTACATTTCACCCATCGTAATATATTCCTTATTTATGTCACTGGTTACTCAAGATCGAGGGATCGTTGGAAACTGATAGCCAAGTAGCTCAGCTTCGCACGGGCAGTCACCCGTTTCACCATTACATCACATGCTGACGCCCAAGCTACAAGGGCTTCTGCCAACTTCGTAGTTCCCCGTCTTATCGTTCATTCATCGTGTTCCCATGACAACCAGATTGAACCATCTCAGGCGCAACACTGAGTGCTCAAAACAACAGATGACAATCTTCTTAGCGGAGAGCAGAAGAGGGCATCTATTTAGGAGCTTTAGAGAACAAAATGAAAAATCAGGGCCTACATGCTAATGGGTCCCGCTAAAACAAAGCTAGGTAGCTACATCACATTAATAAAGATGTATTGTCATATTTATCATTCATTCGAAGGAAAGGAAAAAAACATACTGCTTATTGCTTCTCCAGCTTGATTACACCCCCCCCCCCCCCCACACACACACACACACACACACACACACACACACACCACAACACGCTACTGTACAGGTGTGCTGTGCACTAAGACAAATCCTGAAAGTATGCAGGCACACAGCTGCACACACTACACTGGAAAAACACCACCAGGAGCTGCTTATTGCACAAGTTCTCTGAGGGAAACAACATGCTTAACTGGCTGGCTCTACTTTCAAGCTCAGATTTAGACCTCAAGATCGACTCCTTGGAAACACTAAATCTGGCAGACTCATTTAAAGCGCGAGATTCGCCCACGCTCCACAGAAGACAACCAGAAACAAAACACTTCAAGATATAATTGCTGGGAACAGTTTTTCCATCGGTAGATTGAACCAAAAAACTCTGACGTTAATATGTAGCCTTAAACAAAACTTTTTCAACAGGAAAAAGCTAAGGAACACATTTAGTTACAGAGGAAACCGTGCTTTCTCAAAGACCATGTGGGACTGTTTTTAAAATGTATTTTTTGAAGTGACACCAATCCCCAGTAGCATTTGTTTTTTAGGGCTACTTTCCTAGTGCAGTTTCATCTGAATCCATAACGTGACATAATATATAGGAACTATAAGCTTCCAAGAAAGCCACGTGATAAGCACTGTGACCGACAGCAGAAAATTGATTACATGAACTGAATCATGTATCAAAGTCCAAATCTGACTCAACACACATAGCTGTGTGACACTTGAGCAAAGTACCAACTAGGCCAATTCAGACAACTAGATGGAGGAAAATAAGGAAACAATATATATACCAAAAAGGTTACAATAATAAAAAAATGAGGACATTACATGCCATGCTCACTGAGCAGTGCCAAACGATTACCTGAGCGGAGAACCATGCACGGTGTAGCCAAACTGTAACTGAGTACGAGTACATTATTTGAATTGAAAAATATGTCGCTAGTATAGGGATGTCCAAGATATGTATAAAACAAGTTTGCTGCAAGGGACCAACGACATGTTATGCATCTGACTATGTGGATTTCAGAAAACTCTTATCCATAAATTGCTGAGTTTCTAGTTATGTCAATTTAAATCACACTGACTAGGCCGTTTTTAATGCAATGTACGATGACAAAATGCCATTTGTTACCGTGCTCGTGAAAATGACTGAGATTCAATGGAGTTGAATCCCAGTGAGCTTAGTTTAGATTAATCACTGCCAGCCCCTAAAAATGATAACCATCTGGTCCAATGCGCATACCTATGAAGCAGACCGGTTTTTAGCTGGTTAATAAGAGCAGGGTTCTGAGCGGCCCCGTCCGTCCGCGGATAAGCATTCAGTAATAACCGGTACCTTTTCTCTAATAACACTTCGAATTCAGCCTCCGGAGCTTCGGCAGCTTTAGCTGGTGTGACCATACGGCTGCGTTACGGGTCGGCTCACTGTTAAACCACAGAGCCACGAAACAGCAAAACAGCCCGAAGCGGGCGGGTCTGAGGAGACAAGAGTCGGTGCTGAGCGGGTCACTGACCTAAGAGGGCCTCGGAGACACGGCCAGGCGCCGCGTCAAACTAACTAACCGACTAAAAACCCGACTAACTAACTTAACTAACTAACTATCCGTGCCAGGAAGGACAGGACGGCCGCTAGCCGTTAGCATGACGGGACGTAGCTTAGCCATATCAAGTTCAGCTAAGAGGCTAGGCGGCTAAGGTAACGCGGATCCGAGTGGACACTCGCCTTGAAACGGGTTACGACGAACACGCCCGCACGCCCGTCTGCCCCGCGTGCGCGATCGGCAGCGCGTGGGGGCGACTCACCTGGAGCCGAGGACAGTGACAGCGAAAGCGCGGCACGGCGCGTCTGCAGAGCTCGCCGGTCGAAACACCCCCAGCAGCTGCACGGCCGTCCGTCCATCTAACGCCCTGCACCAGCGCAGCCTGCTGAACCCGCCGCCGCTTCTCCCCCCCGCACTGCCCCGCGTTACCTTCGCAAGTAAACGGGGAGAGAAAGCCGTCGCAGAGCTGAGCCGCCGGCCTCACGGGCACTCAGGGCAGCGAAAGAAACCCCGTCATATTTTCGAATCAAAATGGCGGACATTGTCTCGGGAGCGCGCAGGCGAGCGCGAGAGCGCGGAGCTTCAAGGTTCCTCATCAGAGGTGCTGAAAGTTATGGTGTAGTATTAGATAAGAAAGTATTCCAATATTACTAAGCCCTCTGTGTCTTAAACACTACAGCCTCTCTTCTGCTGCGGTCCCTTCTGAGTTGACACATACTTTATGGTTGTTTATTATTATTATTATTATTATTAATAATAATAATATTACATCAAAATAGGACGCTGTAACGTGATAGGACAGGACGTTTTTCGAATAGTACTGCGTCCCCAAATCATTGTTTGGAATACCATTTTATTATGCAAAGTGCATTAATATCGACTGACGATGATTTCTAGGTTAACGTGTACAGTTGAAACCCACAAACAAGTTCTTTATGACAGAGCATAAAATGAGACTTTATAGGTAATTTTAGAAAAGGTAAACATACATTTTTGGTGCTGAAATATTCTGTTACATATTGTTGATATGTTCCCCCAGTGTGACGGGGGAATTCTGCGCTCATATTCTTCTGTTTTTGTTGTCAGTAACAACACTTAAAAACTGATTTCACTGGTTTAATTCCTTTGGTTTTTCTGTATCTGCCCTTTACTGAAGACAGTGAGACATATATTGTGCTCAAATATTTTTCTTGTGTGAGGACCAGTCGATGAGTCGGTATGTACTGTATTTGATGTATGTACATTTTCCTTTACTTGGGAGAGCGGCTGTCCCCTCTGTCACAATCGGGGCAGCGATCCGCACTCCGGAGCAGTAGGTGGCGCTACACACCACTCAGCTGGGGATGCAAACTTGCCTCAAGCACCGCCGAAGAAGACAGCAGGAAGCAATGGCTTGCTAAGCTGTGATGGACCCGTTGGAAAATGCCGAACCCCAAGGCTATAAATGGGGAAAAGGCACAGACGATTCGGCTTCTCGCACCGCCTGGGCCCGCTTCTCTTCCTGGCTGGAGTGCGTTTGCGTCGTTACCTTTGATCTGGAGTTCGGGCAAGCCATCGAGGTACTGACCTGTATCCAGGTGTGATGAAGCCTGTCTGTGTTTGACAGCTGGTGACCATGCTTGAGTGACATTTGCTTTGCAATAAAAAAAAGATTCAGATCGATAATGAAATAAGCCTACTCACGTCTTATGTTGTACTCTTCTTGTGAGTCTTGTCGTGGGTGACAGTTTAATGAGAACAGTACCAACAACAGAGCTTTCGGTGCTTTTAAATCGTGGTAGATATTGGCTGCGTATTACGATCGCCTTGGGACCTCTGGGAGTTATTTTATTGCTTCTGTTTTTCAGTTGGTTTATCCCCAAGATGTGAAACTTACGGAAAAAGAGGTAACTGCGCCGTTCGCTTCCCTTGATGTTAAAGCTCCGACCGTAGTTACCGCTCTGTGTTTTTCGCGTCTACTGCGGATATCACAAGCATGTATTTTCCATGGTTGCAATACGTACGACAGAACAGCAACATTTAATAACCTTTTTGTGTGAACATTATTCCCCCAGAAAACCAGCATATGCTATCTGTCCTTCCCAGATTCTTACTCGGGTAAGTTTTCCAGTCAGGCTTGATAGGTCGTGAAGCTTGGACAGTGATTTGACACCATTCCCCAGCCGTCTGAATGCGTGCAGTGTGATTGTTCAGAAGCTGGGTAAGTCGCCAGGCTGGGTTTATGCTGGTTTCCTCTGGTTTCCTAGGGTGCCTTGGAGACACTCAGTTCAGTTTCAGGCTGCGGCAGTCTGTGGGACAGAGGGGCTCTTGGTTTGGATCAGAGGACACTTACAGCGGGGACGCTCCAGTCACTCTGCAGGTAGGGTAATCCTACCGTAAAATGTGGCCGCTGCTCTCTGTTAACCAAATAAAATACAAAGAATACTAATGACAGAACTACAAGCTCCATATCTGTTCTGCACATTGTGTGTCATTTGAGTAAGTGTTGTTGAAAAGGCAGCTTGTTCATCCTTGTGGTTCCTCTAGAGAGACCTGGCGCATTACTTTGGGTATGTCTACTTCAGGCAAGTCAAAGACGTCTCCGTCAAAAGAGGGTACTTCCAAAAGGTATCGGCACGTCTTTCGATAAAATAGTTTGTGTATCATCGCGTTTTCTATGCTACTACGGAGTGTTTGATATACACTGGTGTCTTTGAGCTGATCCACCTCCATGTTTGCTTTAACTAGCTGTTATACCTCATAATTACACAGTCGATAAGATCAGTGTTTACCCAAAATATGAGTAAACGGTGTATGTTGTATTGTAACTGCCCTCATGGCGTCTGACTGCTGCTTAGCTATAGCTGTGATTTACTGTTTCCTGCCATCCTCACCCTCTCCTTCCCAAGTCCCTAGTCTTCATTTCCCGGCTGCCTTACGTCAGCCTCTTCCAGTCCCTGCTGCAGCTTGTAGCACCAGAGTTTTTTGAGAAGTTGGAGCCTTGTCTTGAAGCAGGTGAGGTGCAAAACCGAAGGCACTAGGAACAAACCCTGTTTGACCACAATTAAGCATGTAAATGTACCTTTATTCTCATGGTTAAAGAGTGGGATTTCGATCTTCTTTTAAACATGTCATTGCTGTCACACAAATCCAACTGGATTTTGTCAAATAATGCATCTGCTACACTAGTAGTAGCACAGGTAATACCTGGTGCTGAGGATGTAAATTGATGCATTTCCATGTCAACCTTACTGTATTTCGGTGTGCTGCTTTTCTGACTGGCTTCTCATAAGCCCTTGAAGTTGTTTGTGATGCCAGCACCGTGTGCTTAAAGCAGGGAGCAGTCAGCCACCTTGGAGCTGGAGATGGTCGGGGACCAGGCGGCAAATTCAGCCTGTTGGCTTCTGCTCGGTTAGCCAAAGCGGAGTGATAAGCAGGGTGATTTCTAAACTTGTGTATGGGCTCGTAACTGCGCTGTGTGTTTGACTGGACAGCTGGTTAAATCCTCCCAATTACAGACCAAATTGTGGTTTCGGGGCTGAAGGTCTTTGAGCTTGTGAGCTGGCTCCCATGGTGTGATGTTCTATGCCCCCCAGTTTGCAATGAGATTGACCAGTGGCCTGCCCCAGTGCCAGGGGTGACCCTCAACCTGCCAGTGATGGGAGTGGTGATGCAGGTAAGGCCCCTCCCCCCACCCCCACAAGGCTATAATTGCCAGGAGATCCGTGGGAGGTATTCTGAGTATGGCTGTTCCACGTTCCATCATTCAGGTCAGGATCCCAACAAAGAACGACAAGCTGGGAGGGAGCCCCTTGAAGCAGGCACACAAGGAGGTCAGTCGCTCGCGGTGCTGGGGGAGCGCGCCGGCCGGGGCACTGCTCAAGCATGCAGGGCTCCGGGGGGGGGGGGGATATGTGCGTGCTTTGGGACTGGAGCAGTAGAGAGCCTGGCAGTGCCGAGTGGGTGAAAGCTGACAGGAACCTGCTCCGTGATGGCCGTCTGTTTCTGTCGTACAGAATCTGCTGCCAGCCCCAGTGGTCCTGCCCACAGTGCACGAGCTGGACCTGTTTAGGTAAGTGCGGCCTCCCACCTGGGCCCCCGTCTCCTCTCCTGGTATCTCGCCAGGCCACATGCTGGCTTTCTCCTGCATGCTGTGATGATTTCATTAGCATTTGTGCACTGGTTAGTGTGAGGGAAGTCAGACTCATCTGCTGATGTTAAGCCTCTAGCAGAGTTGGTGGCAGGAGGCTGTGGGGAACAGACAAGCCTCCCCGTCTGCTGTGTGTCTCCAGCACGGCGCCATGAGCCATGTGTGCATTAATAAGATGATCCCTGACAATTTAGCCTGTTCTCTGCAGGAAGGCAACTAGGTGATTTCTCTAACCTCTGCTTCAGGTGTTTCCAGTCTCTTCTGATCCACATCCAGATGCTTTGGGAACTGGCTTTGCTAGGAGAGCCGCTGGTCGTCATGGCGCCCTCCCCGACCACCTGCTCGGAAACTGTCCTGGCCCTCGTCAGGTACCCGCCGCAGTCTATTTACATAGGAATCTCTCTGCAGCACTCTCTTGCCATCTCTGCTCTGCTCCAATGCCTCCACACGGCGTTTAACAAACATGTCCGAAGGTGCAAAGACCAGCCGAGCCGTGCTGGGTGAATGTTTATATCTGGCAGAGCCAGTGGGGGGCCTGTTCAGCGGCAGCCCTCCCCCAGCTGGCTCTTGGCACCCGCTATCGGCTGCATTGCTACATGAAGTGAAAGGTCACGTTCCTCACCTCTCTGCTGGTTTGTTTCCTCAGCTCCATTGCTCCGCTCAAGTACTGCTGCGACTATCGTCCGTACTTCACGATCCACGACAGCGAGTTTAAGGAGTACACCACCAGGACACAAGCGCCGTGAGTGCCGTCCCTGCCTGGGCCTCCCATGCTTTTCCTCGTTTCCGCTGCTCTTTGGCTACCTGGCACTCAGTGTCTTCAGTTTCTCTGTCACACACACTCATGCCCGGCTCTTTGTGATTCAGGCCCAATGTCATCCTGGGGGTAACCAACCCATTCTTCATCAAGACCTTCCAGTACTGGCCCCATGTCATCCGCCTGGGAGACCTTAAGATGTCCGGTAGGACTGGAGAGGGTGTCTCACCCATCTCAGTACTTGACCAACCCCCCCCACCCTGCCTTGCTGGAGGCAGAGTTCTAAAAGCTGAAAGTGGCAGCTTGTTATCTGACATCTGTCGGGTTATTGTGCGCTGATCCCCCTGAGGCGAATGGAGCATAGAGCAGAGCATTAGGCCTCTTAATGCTGAAGCATATGCCATAAGAGGTTGTACAGCCCCAGCCATTTGCCTGTGAGACACCCCCAAAGCTTCCTGGCCAGCTGGAACCCAGGGTTCCCTGCTAACTGGCCAGTGCCCTGAATGAGCCGTAAGCAGGGCTGATTTCCGAGTGGCTGGCTTCCTCCGGGCTCATTCCTGCTTCCTACCCGGTTAAGGTGACTTGCCAAAGCAAGTGAAGGTAAAGAAGCTGGCCAAGCTGAAAAGCCTGGACACCAAGCCAGGTAAGTGGCTCCGTCACAGACTGCTACATGAGGCTCCATTAATGCTTACATATGTCTGTTTACGTTTCATATTTTGTGGCCACAATTTTGTCTCATACAGTCAAACCACGAATTATGAATTACTTGGTTTGCGAGTGTTTTGCAAGACAAGCAAAAAATTGTAATAAATTTTAACTTAATAAACGAGCAAGGTCTCACAATACGAGTGTTACGTATACGCTTTGTCTGCCGAGCGTCACATGATCACAACTGAGTCGATGGTTCTTCTCTCTCTCCCCCGCTGTGGGATTGTGGGTAATCGTCTCCCATGCTCGGTCTCAGTCGGCTTCTCCCATGCTCGGTCTCAGTCGGCGTGCCTCATTCGTATAGTCAAAATGTAGTAGAAAAGCACCACCCGAATAAGGGTGTAGCAATGCGAGCGATGAATCTGTTTAACGACAATGTAATGTCCACATTTCTGTGAAATTGAAAAGGAGGCAAAAGCAGCTGTCATAGGATAGGTTCCTTGTCAAAGTCGCACAAAAAGAAAGATTCCAGTGAGCCAACAGATAGCAGTGATTCCATTAGTTATAGTGAAAGTCGTCCTACAAAATAACCCTCCTCTTCTCCTCTCTCTCGTCTCCCTCACACCATCCACGATTCTTTTCAAAGGTAAAGTGTAGGTTAATTTGTTTTTATGTATTTTTTCTTTATATTTTGTATTAATAATTTTTATATGAATATTTTTGGGTTGTAAGACAAATCATCCGAGTTTCCATTATTTCTAATGGGAAAATTCGCTTTGATATACAAGTGCTTTGGATTACGAGCACGTTTCCGGAATGAATTATGCTCGAAATCTGAGGTTTTACTGTATTTAATGTTGGAACCTGGAGCCACAAACCTGTCTCTTATTTAATTTTGAAAGAGTTCAATATTTTTTGTCAGAGTTTACAAAACTTGTTTGATAGCTTACCCCAAAAGCACGTGTTGGACTGTCTGCGGGGTTGTCACAATGTAGATGTAGGTCCCTCTAGTGGACATTTCTGAAATTACAGCTTAGTAAAACTAAATATGACAGAATAGAATAGAAAACCTTTGTTTTCCATCACAAAAGTTCAAAATATGGTTTATTTGGTAGCATTTCGTAGCAGTTCACTAATTTCCTTATCGCACCTCTAACTTTGTACTATTCATAGTACAAATCTATTTCATAGATTCCCCCCACCTCAGGCTTCCATTAGGGGTGAGCTGACGTCAGCCCAGCCCCGCCCCCGTCAATTCACAGCCTTAAAATAAATATGAAGTATGTACAAAAAATATTTAAATATATACAATTGATATAATGTACACACATACTATCCCTGGCAATTAGTAATTAAGATGTTTGAGCAGCAAAACCTGCAAACTGTGTTGCAGACTGGCCTCCCAGGACTGAAACTGGGGAACTCTGCAGCAGAGCAAAAGACAGTGGCCTACAAAGGCATGACTATGATATGTGAAGCAGAACAAAGGACTGATTATTGCACATTCAGCAGGAAGCTGGGCCTGAGGAAAGAGCTCTGAGGCTCCCTCGACCGTAACCCCAAAATCCAGTGGTAGCAGGAAGCCGCTCCAAAGATGGGGGAGGGCGTTTGATGACGTGGGGCTCTGCTTCCTCGACTGTTTTCATTCTGCTCTTCTCCCTAGGCGTATACACGGCATATAAAACGTTTCTTCACAAAGATAAGGCCCTCATTAAAAGGCTCTTAAAGGTAAGTGAATCGTCACGTCCCTGAGACCAGCCCCCTAGTGGTGACTGCCCCAACCTGTAATGTTTCATGGGTATGAGCCCTTTTGTATGCCCCAGACTGAGTGCTCGGTCCGTCTGCTCCTCTCTTAGGGCATCCAGCGAAAGCGCCCTTCCGAGGTACAGTGCGCTATCCTGAGGCGCCACCTGCTGGAACTCACGCAGAGCTTCATTATACCCCTGGTGAGGCTCAGTCGACTGGCTTGTCTCCTTCCTCCCAGCTTGCATTTCTGTCACCATGCACTGGGCACACAGACAATTGCAGTAATTAAATACTGAGCTAAAATTGTCGTTTAGGCTAAATATTTCATTTAATAATTGTGCTGTCAGAAGATAACTGATCTACTAAATAACTGAGCACTGCTTAAAATATTCATCAATGAGAGTGTGATTTTTTTTTTTTTAAGACTGAAAAATGAAAGTAAAGTAGATTTAGCTGCTGAGAGTGCAGAAACACAGGTCAGCATTCCCACACATGGACGCTCTTCTGTTCCTGTTCCTTCAGGAACGTTACCTGGCCAGCCTAATGCCCCTTCAGAAGTCAGTGACACCATGGAAGGTAGGTCCAGGCCTTCGGCGCGATGATGTGCATCACCGTGCTCCTGAATTCCCATCCCGGTGGCAAGATGATCAGCGGATGAGGGTCCTTGGTTGTCCGTACCAATGGCCTGACTGGGACCCCATGTGTGTCCAGACGCCCCCCCAGATCCGGCCTTTCAGCCAGGAGGAGTTCATGAAGACACTGGAGCACGCTGGCCCCCAGCTCACCTCTGTGCTCAAGGGTGACTGGATGGGCCTGTACAGGTGAGGCATCTGTCCTGCTGCAGGGAGACATTGGTCCCCTTTAAAAGTCACAATTTCTGCTCAATGTTGATGTTAAACCTTACATCCTGTAAAAATGTCCTGAAACGCCCCGATTTCACCCCTCAGACGCTTCTTCAGGTCCCCAAACTTTGACGGGTGGTTTCGCCTCAGACACAGAGAGATGACGCAGAAACTGGAGTGTCTTCACCTGGAAGTCATCTCTGAAGCTGTGAGTGCCGCCACCCACTCCCACAATGCACTGTGGTCCTTTTGACCCAGCAGGCGCCATAGCGTCTCTGTACTGCCGTCTTCCTACGTTCCCTGCAGGACCTCGCAGCGTGGATCCAAGACAAGTCCGAGGTGGAGATCGTTGACCTTGTGCTGAAGCTGAGGGAGAAGCTGGTTGGTTGAGCCATGTTCAGCGTTGGCGGTCAGTTGTCTGTTGGTCCGTGTGCGTTTTGGTGGCTCCATTGTCACCTCCCCCTGTCCCCCAGACCAAGGCCCGCCGGCAGCAGCTCCCAGTGAAGGAGGAAGTGCTGCAGAAGCAGGAGAAGCATGTGGAGACAGTCATCTGCTCCCTGCCGGAGGACCTGCAGGCCGTTCTGCTTCGCCGCTGACCACTTTCGACCCCCCCCCCATACACACATCTCCTCACCACTTCCTATCAGCTGACAGTCAGTTTTAATCTTTTAATCACACCCCACTCCATTTTAGGTCAGAAAACACACTACGCACCTAAGGTTTCATGCCTGTAACGCAGCATGACATGGAGGAGCACAGAAAGGCCCGAAAACGGCTCTTTCCTAAACTGAGCTGTTCCAGGTTCCACCTTCCTCCGAAGCTCGAGGTGCGACCTGCGACCCTGTCACTAATTGGTCACGTACCATGCTCACGCTTGTAAGCCAGTTCCCCTTAATGCAGCCAGTGTTTAGGAAGGGCCCTGCTTGGCTTAGAAATAGATTTAGCATGAAGTCACACTAGTTAGTCTGAGCAAAATGTTGCATCATTATTGCAGATGTTGGAACTTTTGCCTTGTTGTGTATGTGAGTATTTTTCTTGGGTTTATGGAAGCTCCTGCATTGCTTGGGATTCATAAAAACACAAAAACACTTTTAGGTGGATAGTGGAGATGCATTAGGATTTCATTAGCAACTGTGAAGGTTGCCTGTTGTAATAGATTCATTAACATTGAACCAGCTTTCAGATACACTGTCAAGATGAGCTCTGCACTGAATTTAGTAGTAGTTATTTTTGGTTTATGATATTTATTTTTTTATTATTTGTGAGAAAAAAAGACTTTTATGCATGTCTAAAATGTCTCAGTGCTGTACCCCGAACATAAACGCTGCACATGCTTTGAGGAGGCCATCTTTTGCTGGACCTCATCTGCTGGTGCTGCCAGGCCGAGCTCACAGCCTGTCCCTAACTCCTGTCACCATGCCTCTCCTGTGACACTGGAGCAAACGGCTGGCCCTTGTAATGTCCCCCCTCCCCAATACACAGGTGCAGTGTCCAGTTGGGCCCACAGCAGCTCTGAGCTGGTACTGAGAGCCTGAAAAGCCGACCCGTGCATCTACAGCAGGCTGATGTGCATTAACATGTAATATGATGCAGGAGTGTGGCATTCTGGGATGTCAGCGCTGCTCCAGGTGCTGAACCTTCTGACAAAGGTGACCTGAGCTGGACAACTGATCCTGAGTCAGTGATTACATTTATTATTATTTATCATTGATGGTACTTAATCATCTTCAGTCCTCGTTTAGGTGTATGAACTGGCTTATTTATTTATTGCATCACTACACTCTCACTATTGATACCGACAAATCTGAACAGGTTCCTAATAAAACAGAAAAGCAATGTGATGCTGAGGCTTTATTTCTTGGGCGGGCGGGTTGGGGGGAGTGGTAACAGGTCCCTCGTCACAGGTTAAATGGCTTTCCAGTTAAGTAGGTTGTGACATTATTCTCAGCTCCGACTACCAAGGTAAATGGAACGTGGCATAATTCACACATTGGCTTATTTGGCAGACAAGATGACAGACAGATGACAGGAGCAGAGTGAGAACCAACCAGAAGAGGCAGAAAGCCGTCTTGAGAAATTCTACAAATAAATGACTAACAAACAATAGAGCTTTCATGACACATGAGCAAACCATAAGCACAAAGAAGACAATATGAATCTGCAATAAATTAAATTCTAAGCATAAGTTGTTTTAAATGTTTTCAAATTATGATCCCCAGATGAGTATTTACCATGCAATAACCAAAAGGTTCAATGACAGTCGATTTGAGGTCTAGTTTTAATTTGGTGATCAGTGCTCATTGTTGGCACACAACAACAAAATGTGTCCTCTGCATTTAACCCATATGGGACATAGCAGGGGGCAGCTAATTCAGTGCTCGGGGAGCAGCGCTTGGGGGCGATACCTTGCTCAGGGTACCTCAGTAGTGCCTTGCTGGTCAGGGATTCGAACCAGCAATCTTTCAATTACACGTGCGTTTCCCTAACCATTAGACGTTTAAGAGCAAGCCCTGATTTCAGTGCGACCTCTATAAAACAAAACGCGCACCCAATAACAACAGTGAAGGCTGGACAACTTTACCTGTAATGTATCATGATGTTAACTCAAGAAGACCAGTCATCTGAGGATAGGTCAAACCGCTTTCCTATAATAGCACACTCATCAGTCAGCTGTTTATGAAACTCCAAAGTCCGGAAACAGAAAAACAGCGAGAGGTAAAGAACAGACGGAGCGTCACGTGTAGGTATCTAACTTTCAATAGCTTTAAATCAAGTATGAATGCATAATAAGATTGTTACTCAGACCTCAGAGTAATCCCGTGTTTTATAAATAAATGTAAAACCCAGGGCTGCAAGTTAAGGAAAAGGGACTGATCTTAATGTTAAGTCAGACAGGTAATTATCACAGCAATGCCTATAAGAGAGAAAACCTGTTTAGTTTGATTCCCAGCCACGCAGTCGGACGCGACGACACCACAGGTGACATACAGGAGATCCCGTCATGTCCTCCTGTGAGAATGCCGTTTCGCGCCACACGTTTGCGTGTACGCAGGTGACATACACTTCCTGGTAACGATTCAAGGGCGTCGCTAATGTTTTGACTTCCTGGGTGGTCTTTTAAGTCGTGTGTTCAGTAGATATTTTCCTTTACGCATAAAACATATCAGTGGTGATGAACAGAAAAATGCAGTAACTATATATAGGAATATAAGAATAGATGCAGTTGAACGGTCTTTCGTACCAGAATAACATTTTAACAACACCGGAAGTTGGGGCTGCGCGAGGGGGTGACGCGTCACTTCCGCCTCGTTGGCCCGGACGTGGCACTGTAGCCAGAGGGGGGCCGTACTCCTGTTCTCTTCCGAGACGGGGGAGGATAAATATCAGCGGAGGATTCGAGCCTTGTATTACGAACTGCTGGTTAGGGATATTTGAAGTAGCTTGTCTGTGCGAGTAAGATGGGACTCACAATTTCATCGCTGTTTTCTAGGCTCTTCGGCAAGAAGCAGATGAGGATCCTTATGGGTGAGTACTGGAAGGAAGGGAGGGACTTCGATGCGGCTCTTTCAGCAGGATCAGAGGTTTAGCAGCAGTGGCGCTAGTTTAACACTTACGGTGCCTGCTAGACTCATACTACGCACTTTTNAATCTGAGGTTTTACTGTATTTAATGTTGGAACCTGGAGCCACAAACCTGTCTCTTATTTAATTTTGAAAGAGTTCAATATTTTTTGTCAGAGTTTACAAAACTTGTTTGATAGCTTACCCCAAAAGCACGTGTTGGACTGTCTGCGGGGTTGTCACAATGTAGATGTAGGTCCCTCTAGTGGACATTTCTGAAATTACAGCTTAGTAAAACTAAATATGACAGAATAGAATAGAAAACCTTTGTTTTCCATCACAAAAGTTCAAAATATGGTTTATTTGGTAGCATTTCGTAGCAGTTCACTAATTTCCTTATCGCACCTCTAACTTTGTACTATTCATAGTACAAATCTATTTCATAGATTCCCCCCACCTCAGGCTTCCATTAGGGGTGAGCTGACGTCAGCCCAGCCCCGCCCCCGTCAATTCACAGCCTTAAAATAAATATGAAGTATGTACAAAAAATATTTAAATATATACAATTGATATAATGTACACACATACTATCCCTGGCAATTAGTAATTAAGATGTTTGAGCAGCAAAACCTGCAAACTGTGTTGCAGACTGGCCTCCCAGGACTGAAACTGGGGAACTCTGCAGCAGAGCAAAAGACAGTGGCCTACAAAGGCATGACTATGATATGTGAAGCAGAACAAAGGACTGATTATTGCACATTCAGCAGGAAGCTGGGCCTGAGGAAAGAGCTCTGAGGCTCCCTCGACCGTAACCCCAAAATCCAGTGGTAGCAGGAAGCCGCTCCAAAGATGGGGGAGGGCGTTTGATGACGTGGGGCTCTGCTTCCTCGACTGTTTTCATTCTGCTCTTCTCCCTAGGCGTATACACGGCATATAAAACGTTTCTTCACAAAGATAAGGCCCTCATTAAAAGGCTCTTAAAGGTAAGTGAATCGTCACGTCCCTGAGACCAGCCCCCTAGTGGTGACTGCCCCAACCTGTAATGTTTCATGGGTATGAGCCCTTTTGTATGCCCCAGACTGAGTGCTCGGTCCGTCTGCTCCTCTCTTAGGGCATCCAGCGAAAGCGCCCTTCCGAGGTACAGTGCGCTATCCTGAGGCGCCACCTGCTGGAACTCACGCAGAGCTTCATTATACCCCTGGTGAGGCTCAGTCGACTGGCTTGTCTCCTTCCTCCCAGCTTGCATTTCTGTCACCATGCACTGGGCACACAGACAATTGCAGTAATTAAATACTGAGCTAAAATTGTCGTTTAGGCTAAATATTTCATTTAATAATTGTGCTGTCAGAAGATAACTGATCTACTAAATAACTGAGCACTGCTTAAAATATTCATCAATGAGAGTGTGATTTTTTTTTTTTTAAGACTGAAAAATGAAAGTAAAGTAGATTTAGCTGCTGAGAGTGCAGAAACACAGGTCAGCATTCCCACACATGGACGCTCTTCTGTTCCTGTTCCTTCAGGAACGTTACCTGGCCAGCCTAATGCCCCTTCAGAAGTCAGTGACACCATGGAAGGTAGGTCCAGGCCTTCGGCGCGATGATGTGCATCACCGTGCTCCTGAATTCCCATCCCGGTGGCAAGATGATCAGCGGATGAGGGTCCTTGGTTGTCCGTACCAATGGCCTGACTGGGACCCCATGTGTGTCCAGACGCCCCCCCAGATCCGGCCTTTCAGCCAGGAGGAGTTCATGAAGACACTGGAGCACGCTGGCCCCCAGCTCACCTCTGTGCTCAAGGGTGACTGGATGGGCCTGTACAGGTGAGGCATCTGTCCTGCTGCAGGGAGACATTGGTCCCCTTTAAAAGTCACAATTTCTGCTCAATGTTGATGTTAAACCTTACATCCTGTAAAAATGTCCTGAAACGCCCCGATTTCACCCCTCAGACGCTTCTTCAGGTCCCCAAACTTTGACGGGTGGTTTCGCCTCAGACACAGAGAGATGACGCAGAAACTGGAGTGTCTTCACCTGGAAGTCATCTCTGAAGCTGTGAGTGCCGCCACCCACTCCCACAATGCACTGTGGTCCTTTTGACCCAGCAGGCGCCATAGCGTCTCTGTACTGCCGTCTTCCTACGTTCCCTGCAGGACCTCGCAGCGTGGATCCAAGACAAGTCCGAGGTGGAGATCGTTGACCTTGTGCTGAAGCTGAGGGAGAAGCTGGTTGGTTGAGCCATGTTCAGCGTTGGCGGTCAGTTGTCTGTTGGTCCGTGTGCGTTTTGGTGGCTCCATTGTCACCTCCCCCTGTCCCCCAGACCAAGGCCCGCCGGCAGCAGCTCCCAGTGAAGGAGGAAGTGCTGCAGAAGCAGGAGAAGCATGTGGAGACAGTCATCTGCTCCCTGCCGGAGGACCTGCAGGCCGTTCTGCTTCGCCGCTGACCACTTTCGCCCCCCCCCCCATACACACATCTCCTCACCACTTCCTATCAGCTGACAGTCAGTTTTAATCTTTTAATCACACCCCACTCCATTTTAGGTCAGAAAACACACTACGCACCTAAGGTTTCATGCCTGTAACGCAGCATGACATGGAGGAGCACAGAAAGGCCCGAAAACGGCTCTTTCCTAAACTGAGCTGTTCCAGGTTCCACCTTCCTCCGAAGCTCGAGGTGCGACCTGCGACCCTGTCACTAATTGGTCACGTACCATGCTCACGCTTGTAAGCCAGTTCCCCTTAATGCAGCCAGTGTTTAGGAAGGGCCCTGCTTGGCTTAGAAATAGATTTAGCATGAAGTCACACTAGTTAGTCTGAGCAAAATGTTGCATCATTATTGCAGATGTTGGAACTTTTGCCTTGTTGTGTATGTGAGTATTTTTCTTGGGTTTATGGAAGCTCCTGCATTGCTTGGGATTCATAAAAACACAAAAACACTTTTAGGTGGATAGTGGAGATGCATTAGGATTTCATTAGCAACTGTGAAGGTTGCCTGTTGTAATAGATTCATTAACATTGAACCAGCTTTCAGATACACTGTCAAGATGAGCTCTGCACTGAATTTAGTAGTAGTTATTTTTGGTTTATGATATTTATTTTTTTATTATTTGTGAGAAAAAAAGACTTTTATGCATGTCTAAAATGTCTCAGTGCTGTACCCCGAACATAAACGCTGCACATGCTTTGAGGAGGCCATCTTTTGCTGGACCTCATCTGCTGGTGCTGCCAGGCCGAGCTCACAGCCTGTCCCTAACTCCTGTCACCATGCCTCTCCTGTGACACTGGAGCAAACGGCTGGCCCTTGTAATGTCCCCCCTCCCCAATACACAGGTGCAGTGTCCAGTTGGGCCCACAGCAGCTCTGAGCTGGTACTGAGAGCCTGAAAAGCCGACCCGTGCATCTACAGCAGGCTGATGTGCATTAACATGTAATATGATGCAGGAGTGTGGCATTCTGGGATGTCAGCGCTGCTCCAGGTGCTGAACCTTCTGACAAAGGTGACCTGAGCTGGACAACTGATCCTGAGTCAGTGATTACATTTATTATTATTTATCATTGATGGTACTTAATCATCTTCAGTCCTCGTTTAGGTGTATGAACTGGCTTATTTATTTATTGCATCACTACACTCTCACTATTGATACCGACAAATCTGAACAGGTTCCTAATAAAACAGAAAAGCAATGTGATGCTGAGGCTTTATTTCTTGGGCGGGCGGGTTGGGGGGAGTGGTAACAGGTCCCTCGTCACAGGTTAAATGGCTTTCCAGTTAAGTAGGTTGTGACATTATTCTCAGCTCCGACTACCAAGGTAAATGGAACGTGGCATAATTCACACATTGGCTTATTTGGCAGACAAGATGACAGACAGATGACAGGAGCAGAGTGAGAACCAACCAGAAGAGGCAGAAAGCCGTCTTGAGAAATTCTACAAATAAATGACTAACAAACAATAGAGCTTTCATGACACATGAGCAAACCATAAGCACAAAGAAGACAATATGAATCTGCAATAAATTAAATTCTAAGCATAAGTTGTTTTAAATGTTTTCAAATTATGATCCCCAGATGAGTATTTACCATGCAATAACCAAAAGGTTCAATGACAGTCGATTTGAGGTCTAGTTTTAATTTGGTGATCAGTGCTCATTGTTGGCACACAACAACAAAATGTGTCCTCTGCATTTAACCCATATGGGACATAGCAGGGGGCAGCTAATTCAGTGCTCGGGGAGCAGCGCTTGGGGGCGATACCTTGCTCAGGGTACCTCAGTAGTGCCTTGCTGGTCAGGGATTCGAACCAGCAATCTTTCAATTACACGTGCGTTTCCCTAACCATTAGACGTTTAAGAGCAAGCCCTGATTTCAGTGCGACCTCTATAAAACAAAACGCGCACCCAATAACAACAGTGAAGGCTGGACAACTTTACCTGTAATGTATCATGATGTTAACTCAAGAAGACCAGTCATCTGAGGATAGGTCAAACCGCTTTCCTATAATAGCACACTCATCAGTCAGCTGTTTATGAAACTCCAAAGTCCGGAAACAGAAAAACAGCGAGAGGTAAAGAACAGACGGAGCGTCACGTGTAGGTATCTAACTTTCAATAGCTTTAAATCAAGTATGAATGCATAATAAGATTGTTACTCAGACCTCAGAGTAATCCCGTGTTTTATAAATAAATGTAAAACCCAGGGCTGCAAGTTAAGGAAAAGGGACTGATCTTAATGTTAAGTCAGACAGGTAATTATCACAGCAATGCCTATAAGAGAGAAAACCTGTTTAGTTTGATTCCCAGCCACGCAGTCGGACGCGACGACACCACAGGTGACATACAGGAGATCCCGTCATGTCCTCCTGTGAGAATGCCGTTTCGCGCCACACGTTTGCGTGTACGCAGGTGACATACACTTCCTGGTAACGATTCAAGGGCGTCGCTAATGTTTTGACTTCCTGGGTGGTCTTTTAAGTCGTGTGTTCAGTAGATATTTTCCTTTACGCATAAAACATATCAGTGGTGATGAACAGAAAAATGCAGTAACTATATATAGGAATATAAGAATAGATGCAGTTGAACGGTCTTTCGTACCAGAATAACATTTTAACAACACCGGAAGTTGGGGCTGCGCGAGGGGGTGACGCGTCACTTCCGCCTCGTTGGCCCGGACGTGGCACTGTAGCCAGAGGGGGGCCGTACTCCTGTTCTCTTCCGAGACGGGGGAGGATAAATATCAGCGGAGGATTCGAGCCTTGTATTACGAACTGCTGGTTAGGGATATTTGAAGTAGCTTGTCTGTGCGAGTAAGATGGGACTCACAATTTCATCGCTGTTTTCTAGGCTCTTCGGCAAGAAGCAGATGAGGATCCTTATGGGTGAGTACTGGAAGGAAGGGAAGGGCTTCGATGCGGCTCTTTCAGCAGGATCAGAGGTTTAGCAGCAGTGGCGCTAGTTTAACACTTACGGTGCCTGCTAGACTCATACTACGCACTTTTTTTAATGACACACGAGTGATTTTCCGTGAACCGTTACTGCCCGCTTTATTCCATATGGTGGGGGAGTCGGGGGTAGAAGCGTAAGATGTCAGTGGGGCTGTTAGCCAGGGTGTGGGGCGTCGTTAGTTTTCCCGGACTGACATGGAGCTGATGTGCTGAGGATAGAGGTAACAGGTGGATTGACTCCTTACTCAAGTCGCACTCATATCACAGGCACCGCAGTACGTTATGCTTTGTGACCCGTTTGTAAAAGCGGCGGCTCTTCTCAGACGGGTATCCCTTACCTGTAGCGTGACGCGTCTGCCTGATGGAGGACGGGAGCGGAGTTCGCGTTCAGACGCACGAAGCTGTCACCGGTTTCGCACATTGACTTGAGATGGACAAAAGCAGGGTTATTTGATAACCCTTTAATGTGCTCATGATGTTATTGGTTGTGCAATCTAGATGCAAGGTTTCTTAACTTTTCTATGTAAAGTTTTGCACTGTTAAAGCAGTTTTGTTTCTCTCTCTCTCTCTCTCTCTCTCTCTCTCTCTCTCTCTCTCTAGTGGGTTTGGATGCTGCTGGGAAAACCACCATCCTGTACAAACTGAAACTGGGAGAAATTGTGACCACCATTCCAACCATCGGTAAGATCTGCGTTGAAGAGAGACATTCTGTCACCATGTACTCTTTGGCCCAGTCACCATACTGCTTTCGATCTGAAGCTTTCCAGGTTGTGACTGTGTCCCAGTTTCATTGTAAACATCTTCAAGCGTTGATCATTGTCTCTGCTGACCTGATTGACAGGTTTCAACGTGGAAACTGTGGAATACAAGAACATCTGCTTCACGGTGTGGGATGTGGGTGGCCAGGACAGGATCCGGCCTCTCTGGAGACATTACTTCCAGAACACGCAGGTCTGTCTTTTCTCCACCTGTAGGACCTCTGTGTCCTCCATCACTGAGCCACAAATGTTAAAAACCAAACTAAAATGTAACTGAGTTGTGACAGTAGATGAGATCAGTAAATATCCTCAACACCATTTTAAACTCATACTGCCATACTGCTCTTTGAAAGATTGCTGGTTTCTCACCTGGTTGCCATATCAGCTGGATAGTGAAGGTGTCCCTCCTGGTCTGATTTACCTCCTTTCCATTTCGAGATATTTGGCTTGGCTTCAATTCTGAGCCACATCTAGCTCTCTGATCTTTTGGCTGGCCTAACTGACTGCTCTGACAGTGTCCCCGATCAGGTCTCTCTGTCACGCTGACTCTGAGCTGTTGTCTGGTCCCTAGGGTCTCATCTTTGTCGTGGACAGCAACGACCGTGAGCGAATAGCAGAGTCAGCAGAGGAGCTCTCCAAAATGGTGGGTATCTGCGTGGTCCGCAGCCATTGGCGCAAGCAGACATGACTTCCTGCAGCTTCCTGTGTACCCACAGAGCCTCCTGCTCATTTACAGTCACACAGGCTAATTCAGTGATGCTCTCCTGAGGGCTACATTTCTTCACACTGCGGGGGCATGTCCCCCCTCCCGGACCCCAAGATGGATGCGGTTTAACTGACCCGTACCTGTACTGTGTTTCTCCACAGCTGCAGGAGGATGAGCTGCGTGATGCCGTTGTGCTGGTCTTCGCCAACAAACAAGATCTGCCCAACGCCATGCCCGTGAGCGACCTGACAGACAAACTGGGCCTTCACAGCCTGCGGAGCAGAACCGTAAGTGTCCTAGGGATCGGGAGCAAGAATGTGAACTGCTGGGGGGGTGGGGGTCTCCCTTACTACCTTAATGGATCTGAAGGCATTAAACTGAACTCTGAGTTGAGCATCAGGGATGGTCTTTGCAGAGCGAAGCCAATGTCTCCATGTCTCCCTCTCCCCCTCCCTCTCCAGTGGCATGTACAGGCAACCTGTGCCACACAGGGCACAGGCCTCTACGAAGGGCTGGACTGGTTATCCAATGAGCTCTCCAAGCACTAGGTGGCAGCAGAGTGCCAGGTGGCGTGAAGGCGACCAAGCCCAGAAAGGCACACAAGGGAGCGGATGGCGGGAATTTCAACCAAGAAACTGTCTAAATTATCAGTGTGTCTGTCTGCTACACCTTCGCTTTATGGACTGTACTTTTTTTTTTTTCTTTTTTTTTCTTTTTTTTTTGTCTATCCTCTGCCTTTACCTCTTTTAGAGTCCCCCCACCCATCTCCACAAAACATTTTAGGTTGCATGTTTTTAGACGGTGTAAGGTTACCATGGAAATGGACTAAGGTGCGGTGCAGAGGAGGGGTGTGGGTCTCCACCCCTGCTCATCTTACCCTGTTATAACTGACCAGGTTGCCCCCCCCACCCCACGGTAAAGAATGATTTTCAGGGAAGTAGCGGGACATGGAGAAAGAAGAACTAGTGGGAAAACAGACTGGACGGTGGAACTGCTGTGCTGGGACCAGTACATGATGCAATAAACACACCTCCCAGTGTAACTGGTGCTGTGATGGAGACTTTTAAGCGAGTGCATGTTTTTAAGGCGATCGGAGATCTCCAGACAAGCTTAGTGGAGCATGTGAAGGTCTTACCTTGTGGTGGAGGAGCTGCTCTTTGGGCTCAGTAGGAATCCAGTCTTGTGCTTTTCTGCCCGCGAGGGTCTCCAGTGTGTACATTCCATTACCTCCCTCTCTGAGCCCTGCATGGGATTCAAAACCTCCAAGGGGGTCAAACGGTTTGTTGTACAAAACAAAATAATAAAACGTAGGAAAAACTCACGTTTCTCTGGAAGTCCTTTTAAAAGAAAAGTTTGGCAGCAGAAATAGACATAGCAATCTGGTGCTGTGAGATGTAGGAATGTAACGTTGCCGTGGTGCTGGTGGACGTCTTGGGGTCCGGGACGCCGTTCCTCATGCTGGCGGTGAATCTTGTGGTAGGTTGGGGGGGTGGGGCTGTCGCCAGTGGTTTGTTATACCATTTCCCCCCAGAAGATGGCGCCCTCGGTGGCTGTTTGTCACATAATGGGCTGAACAGGATTAACACTTTTGCAGCAAAAAGAAGTGAATTTAAATGGGAATACTGCCAGTGACATTCTGCCCCCTGGTGTTAAGGTCTTAAGCGTGGACTGTAAGCATAATGGTGATGTCATACTCAGACTGTCCTATAGAGGGCACTGCTATCTTTACCCAGTTCAAAGACATAGTCTAGAGCAGGGGTGTCAAATTCCAGTCCTGGAGTAGCTTAGTTCTTTCCCTTTTCCATCATAAATAATTCCGCTCGAGAGTTGTGGTAATTAGCACAAGGAGTTTAATCAGGTGTGTTAAATGAGGGTAAACCAAAAACTGCAGGGCTCCGGCAGTTTTGACAACCCTGCTTTAGAGCTAGTGCTCCAGATGAGAGGCAGGGAGATGCATTCTTGCCAGAACCCTAGTGGTCACCTAGAAATGGGAATTCAGTTTGGGATTCTCAGCCCCCTTGCCAAGCACACAAACACTCCTTAAGTGGGTGGGTCCACACTGTGTGTGCTGTGAGGGCTCACTGTCTGCAATTCACTGCATATATGCTGTGTTAGCAGTGGGGCTCCCCCTGTCTCCAATTCACCACATATGTACTGTGTCAGCAGTGAGGGGGCCCTGACTGCCATTCACTTCAAATACTGTATTGGCAGTGATGGCCCCCGTCTGCCATTCACTGCATATACATACTGTGTTAGCAGCGAGTCCCCCTCTCTGCCATTCACTACATATACTTTGTTAGAAGTGCCATTGTCTGCACTGTATAAAAAAGTGCCTATATATAAAACATTAAAACAGAAGTGCCACACAAATCAAACATATAAACCGAATATGACTTTCAGCCTTGACATGTAAGATACTGCTCTGTTTCTAAGTACTGGGTACTTAGCAACATTTTAATAAAGAAACCCTGTTTTCGTATTTACAATACAAACGGCCACATCTCTGCTGCCATCTGTCGGTGCGATATCAAGGAGCTGGTATTTAAACTGTTGTAACCAACCAGGATCACGGGAGTAAATGAAAGAAATAAGATGATTTTATGATGGTTACTACTGCTGTATGCTGTTGATCAACACTTGCAGGCATAGTGACATGAGCTGGTGTCGTCGTATGTAATAAAGCTAATCATTCACGGATACCTGGGGCCTGTACTACGAAGCGGGGTTACTGGCTTATCGGGGTAACTTGTCGGATTTAAGGTAGTCTGGGCAAAATGAAGTGAACGAATATGAAGTCCTTTTAAACTGTGGTACCTTAAATCCGACAAGTTACCCCGATAAGCCCGTAACCCCGCTATGTAGTACAAGCCACTGTGCGCTATTTATACTGTAGCTAATGAGGATCAGGCAGGGAAGCGAGGTCAGCAGAAACGCTTCGGTGCTCGGGAGGCAGCGCCATACACTGTCCTTCTCTTTACCTTCATTTCATAAACTCCCTTCTTCTTTTCGGATTTAAAGAATGAGCTGAGAGATAGGTAAGTTATTTAAACATTTTATGTTTTTTTAAATATGGAATTATGATGCTATCTCAATAATGTAGTCAAAGTAAAATATAGCGGTTTTATAAAGCACATTTAAAAACAATTGGTGTAAAAGTGCTGTACAATCAAAATAAGGAAAACCAAAGAGAAGTTTGAATGACGAAAAGACGACAAAATATAAACGATGCTTGATTATTTGCAACCGTTTATTAAAAAAGATATTTGTGCTTGTGCTGTTCCGGGATTAATTATAGTTGACAACAGCTTTAAAGTATTTAAATTATTAACTTTAACTTATTAAAGTTTTGTATGTGTCTGTGCATATATACATATCATAAATTGCAGCTGCAAGATGCACGGTGCCCCACTGCCACAGCCTGGCCATTAGCGACACACAAGCCCGTTTTTTCTGAAGCGAAATCGCATCACCCGCGACATGACTCTGCCTGTTCCGGTTCCCCGGCCGTCCTACTCCCAGGCACGGGAGACGCTGGTCAAAGCCATCCCGCCAAAAATCATCTGCCTGCTGGCCTGCGGGGGGAGGGACTGCCGCTACGAGGGTCCGGAATGCTGGAGAGCCAGCCAGCAGGCGATTCGGGGGCTCTTCTCGTCATGGTAAGGAACCAAAACCACGCAGCAGTAACTAATGCCTGTGGTTTAGTCGGTGTCCTAAACTGCGTATCTGAGACGTGAAAGTTGATTAGCAGCATCCACACGTGGCTAAAGAGTACGTCATTTTGGATGAAATCGTCTGTTACATTAATAATACGGCAAACGAAAGTCCATTTGTGTGGATAGGATCACCGAGAACATCGTGGCGATGTCACGACCTTCTACACAGCTCATCCAAACCTACAACATCATCGAGCAGTTCCACAAGTGAGTCTTCATCTTTCACCAGTGACATGCTCCGTACAGGCAGAACTGTCTTCCCATTCATCTTTGCTATGCACTTGCTCTAATAAAGATTTCGAAGTTCTTTTTTAAAGCCTTATCAAGTCTAATTGGCTTTAGGAATTACCTCTAAAAACATCACCTTCTAAGGCATCCCCCTCCAGGGGTGAATGTAGGATCTCTCTTTTCTTAAGGTGGGAGGTGCATAAGAGTGGTCATAATTCATACAGTCTGATTTTATCTTTAGCCAATTATATGTTTTTGAATCAGTGAGTGATGAGGGAGAGGCAGTCTGGGGGCCAATCAGCTTTCAGCTGACCCCACCCCTGCCTGTCCTGCATCGTGTCCCCAGGGTGAACATCAGGTCCATCATAAACATGCAGCTGTGTGGAGAGCACGCTCACTGCGGCCCCCCCTTGGAGCCCGACTCCGGCTTCTCCTACTCCCCGCAGATCTTCATGGAGAATGGCAGTGAGTTGGCATTTGCCCCCCCCCCCCCCCCCAGCCGGTGTCATCGGCGTCTGGGGATGACACACCCCTGCCTCTCTTGCCCCTCTCCAGTCTCCTTCTATAACTTCGGCATGCCGGACTTCAGCGTGGCATCGCTGCCCAGGATGCTGGATGCGGTGAAGGTGCTAGCGTTCGCCGTGCGGCAGGGGAGAGTCGCCGTGCACTGTCATGCGGGCCTGGGCCGCACTGGTGAGCTTCCCCTCCTTTTCTGCGGTTTGGCACTGAACGCAGCAGATCAATCAGGTGGTGTGTCACTCAGCAGCTTAGTTCTCTATGCCTGTGATCAAAAAGTTGCTAATTCAAATCCTGTGCTTAGCAGAATAGTCACCTGTCCGTTGGACCCTTGAGCCAGGCCCTTAACCCCCTGAAAAATTATCCAGGAGTGTCAGAGAAATGGTGGGGCCTGTGCTCAGAGCCTAAGCATCAGTCTCACCACTATATATTTGCATATGTGTTTAAGAGGAGAGCATGATGGGAAATTTGAAAACTAACACATTCCAATGTACTTCTGTAAATCGAGAGAGAATCATAAGACGACTATGTGAGAAAGCGGCAGGTTCCCGTCACCACAAATGGAATAGTTCGGTGTTATTTTTAGAGATATTTACTGATTCACACTAAGGTTAAGGGTACAGCAGAAATCCGCATCTTTGGATTCGACTAATTTTAAAAAGAGAAATGGGAAGAATAAGTCTTTGCCCTCCCCCCTCCACCCCCCCAGGAGAGTGAAGATTCCTGTGTGCTGCTCCCATTAAGCTCCCACCCTCCCCTGACTGGATAATCGTCTGCTGAGCGTGAAGTTCATGTCTTTGTGGCACTGAGACGCGTGCGCTGACTTTGGGCACAGGTGTGCTGATCGCCTGCTACCTGACCTACGAGCTGCGCGTCACCCCCAGCGAGGCAGTGCACTACATACGGCTCAGGCGGCCGCGCTCTGTACAGACACGCGCCCAGATCCGTATGGTCTTCAGCTTTGCTTGCCTGCTGGCCACGCAGCTGGTGCTGTACCCGGACCTAAGCCACAGGCACGGCGCCCCCTTCAGCTTGCGGCAGCACCTGCAGCGGCAGGGCCTCCTGCTCCATGGCGAGGAGGCGCGTCGCCTGAAGAATGTGCCCAAGGTGGTGGACTTCCTCTGCAGGAGGTTGGTGGCCCTGGCCTGGGGCCAAGAGTGCTCTCATGGCTGGAAGGTGGAGGTGGCGAGGCGGGCGGCTGTGCTGGAGCTGACAAAGGTGGTGAGAAACACTCTGCTCAGTACAGACTTCCCGGTCCATCTCAGGGATCCTACGGCATGGAAGCCCTCTATCTGTACAGGGTCTTCCTGGGATGAGCAAGATGGCTTCCTGGAGTGGAAGAGGGAGGTTTTCCTAAACAAGAGGAGTTATAGTGACTCTGACCTCGGCAAGGTCTCCATCTATGAGGTGAGGCACCACCCAGGAAATAACACTGGCAAAGTGGCCTTCATGTAGTGTAATAAACCAGTTGGATTCATGTGCTCTAGGATCTAGACTTTGAGCAGTACCCTACTCTGCCAGAAGGGGGCACCACAGGGGAGTTGAAGCTAAATGGTGAAGCACCTGGAGGCTTGGATCTGAGTGCCCCTAGAATGCAGCACTGTAATGGCTGGTCAAACACGGATGGGTCTCTCTGCCTGAAACATCAAGCTTTATGCTGCCCTGTCTGTGCAGAGAGGTCTAAATTCAATCCCAAGATGGTGCCGGTGCTGGCTAAGTGCACGTCAAGCTCAGAGGTGAGCTGTGGGAGTCTGAGCTGTGTTTACTAAGAAGGGTTACAGAGATAAGCATCTGTGACATGTGGCATGAACCGTATTCAGGTAAAATGAGTAAATAAAAGCGTGGAAAATTAAGTAACGGTGAATATTCACCTGCTTCTAGCTACTGGGGACTAATTTCTCCCACCTGGTGTCTACGTGTGGGGCCGTGGCCATGGCAATGGCAGAGCAGGATCCCCCTGGGGATGCGACCTTGCGGAAGTCTGCTGCACTGCAGGTGAGCACGATCACCGTTGTGTCTGGCGCGGCCTCTCGGCTCCTCGGGCCGCCCATCCTCCCTGTCCCCGCTCGTCCTCCCTGTGCGGCTTCTCGGCTAGCGGCTTTTCAGGCTATTCATCCTCCCTGGGTCCACCCCTCTCATTCAGAAGGAGCTAAATGGGAACGAGTGCGGCTGGGCGGCACTTGCCACAGAAATGGACCCTGGCGTCCTCAGCTGTCTGCTCTGGACCTGGCTGGAGAAGTTGCGGGTCAGTTTAGTACCTGCTGATCCTTCTCACTGGTGTAGAGTTATGCCCCCCTCTCCCCTGGCGGCTCAAAGGCCCTTCTGCTCGGATCCACAGGAACCAGTTCTGGACGGGAAGGATGTGGACCAGCTAAACAACAGCCCTCATGGCCTCAAAAAGTTGCACAAGGTGAGGCTTCTCAGAAAGGTCCGTCATATGATGATTGAATCGCTTCTCTACAACAGGATGTTGGGGGTGTGAAACTGAAAGATGTGTACTGAAAGGTGGAGCAATAGAACGGGCTCTGGGATGAAATGGTGCTGTGTTGTCCTCTCTGCAGTGTCAAGACCAAACCATCTGCTGTCTTCTCCGCTGCATCAGTCAGGTGACCTGCCTCTGTCCACAGCTCGAGGACAGCATCCTGCGGCGACTAGTCCGAGCCCTGACCAGGGTGTGTATGCCTCCTCCTGGCAGTGGATTTTCATACAACACAAACATCTTCTAGACAATGAGTCTGTACAGTAAAGTTTTCATACAGAACCGGTAGTGATACATACTAAAGTCAGATTTAAAGCATCACCGTAAAGCACCAATAAACCCCAATCGAATTCATTTCTGACCAACGTGAAGCTTAAGATATGGCTCCCTGGACAAAATGCATCTCTGCCTGTGTGAGCGTTACCATGTGAGAATGCCCCCGCTGGCCGGCACCTCTCTTGCCACCCTCGAGTGACTGTGCCCCTCCCTCTCCCTGTACACAGTGCTCCCTAGATAACCTGGCAGGGTACGGTGCAGTGACACACCTCTTCAGGGACACTATCCGCGGAATACGACAGCGTGACCTGGTCACGGGAGCAGCGGCTCAGATCGTTAAGAAGAGTAGATGCAGAAATCGGCAACGCATCACTCTGCGCCTGCGATGCCAAGAGGATCCCCAGCTTTGATGCCGTAGAACTTTCTGGAGGACCTGTGACAGAAGAGGCAGTTTTTTAACATCAAGTTGTCCCTTTCGAGGGTAATATTATACATATGCTGCTGTTCACCTTCTGTAACATGCTGTTCTTGTGTGCAGAGTGTGAGGGTCATGACCGCGTGAACATAAACATGTGAACATGTGAACTTTGATCGTTATGTTAGTCCCTGGAAATTTTTAACATACAAATGATGCAGGAGGGGTGGCTCTGTTGTGTTTTATTGTTGTGCTTGGGACAGGGCTAAGCAGTGTCAGGAATACATATTGTAACAGTTCTCTTGAGGGAGAGAGCCGCTAATGACACACTCGCACACAAGTTATGCTCCTTGAACCAGTAATG